TGACCTGGGATGGACAGGTGAATGTCACCGATGCTTTTGGCTTCATGGCCTCTTAAACACATCACTCTTCTTTTTGTCACTGTGCTTTTGCGTGTGGGAAGCATCCAAAGCAAATAAGGCCAAATGTGGTCCCTAATGGAGGAGGTGGTTGGGAGACCAAAGTGTACAGGGTATGATGGAGAGGGTGGAAACAAAAGGGTTTCTGTCCCTGCAGCACTTATGGAATGGGACAGTCAATAGCAGTGGTTGATGGCACAACTGAGCGGGGGCACCTTGTTCTGCTTGTCCCATTGTTCCTGCCATTGTTGCTACTAAATAATGCATGAAGCTCATTGAGAGCCCAAATGAGCCTCGTGAGGACTCGCTGTGTCCCTGGGCACCAGCCTCTGTGTGTGCAGTGTGCAGGGGACCCGGTCCTGACAGGGTCACCCTCCCTTTGTTCAATGGGTGATAATCACTTTCTCACCTGCTTGTGCTTGAGGGCTTTGGGATTGGTGCTGGGAAGTTGCTTGGCCCTGGGTTAGTGGTGTCGTAGAGATGGCAAGTGAGATGTGCTGCTGGAGATGCCCCTTAGAGCCCTGATCTACAACAGGGAGCGCTCAGCATGCTTGTACTGCACAGCTTGTGGAGCTGCTGCAAGGACTGTCCTTGCTGGGCCGTGTTCTGTGCCCTGCCACAGTGAATCCTTATCCTTAACACCTTTAAGGATGGGGAGGGATTTGCTGCTTTTGCTTGGAAGTAATGGAGCCCAGGATGCTGTTCTTGAGCATCCTCCCCCTTTTACAACTAAGTTACCTTTTTCTGGTCATTCCTCCCCTTTTCTCCCTTTCTCTTGGATGGAACTTGCTTAATCCCAGCACACTTGCTAAATCCCGACAGACTGTCCTGTGCCCAGTGCAGTTTGGGGCCGGAATTCCCTTCTCCAGCTCTTGACCCCTGCATGCAAAAGCTGCGCTTGCAGTGGCCCTGCTGTTCGGAGGGGGACTCTTGCCATCTAGTGGGAGGGGATGGTAAGCCTCCAGGCCCTCTGCTGTCCCTTGGGATAAGACGACAAAGGGCGGCTCTCTCTGCACGTGTGGGATGAGCTCTCGCTGCTTTCCCAGTTGGAGAAGCTGCATTTCTCAAACGCTTTTCCTTGCTGGAATTCTCCCTCTTTTCACGCTTTTTAGGGGCAAAACTTTCCTCATGCCCTTTTATCCGAGCGTCCTGGATGGCTGAGCGGGAACGTGTCGGGACCGGGATGCGTGGGAAGGATGCTGGTGCGCGCTGCTCAGACGCTGCTGCCTGCACTGTGTCAAGGCACTGCTGGGGGGAAGCTGCCTTTCAACAGCTGGCTCCTTGGATGTGTGCTTGGGTCCCAGTCACTGCCTTCACAGATAGGGAATGAATGACAAGTGCTTGCAAAGGGCCCTGTGCTCGGGTCTTCCTTGGCCGAGGAAGACCGGAAACTTGCATTCCAGTTGGGAAATCTCGGTGCAAACCGGCCTCTCCTCACCCCTTGTGTGAAAGGTTAAAGAGAGAAACCCAAGGAAGATGAATGCGCTGTCCTTGGGAATGTGCTGCTCCGTGTCCAGGCTGCCGGCGCTGAGAAGGAGCAGCTGCTCTCGTGGACAAGGAGACGTCATCCCATAGGCACGGATCTGTTCCTCAGGGCTCCAGGTTTGCACCCGTTGTGGTGCATGGGCCTTCAGAGGCTGCTGTAGTCAAGGGGCGTTGAGGATGCGCTGCATCAAACTGAACAGGGCCTATCCCAGATCCCCCATGAGGTTGATGTGTTTGCGTGGGCTCTTTGGTGGGAGCCTGGACTCCAGCAGAGAGCTTGGGATGCTTTTGTAGAGCTGTGCCTTGGTGGGCTCATTGTGGGGGCTGCGGAGCATGGAGAACGAAGCTGCTGATGGGAAGTGAGCCTGAGGTGGTCGTTGTGTGCATTGCATTGAGCCTTGGACTGGAACACATGAAGAGAAGGGGAGAGCTCAAAGGACCGAGGTTATTTCCTATACAAAATGAACCTCCTTTTTCCAGCTTTCCTGGCTGCACGTGAGCTGTGTTGTGCAGGAAGCCCTCCCTGAATAGAACCAGCATCCCTTTACAGTCCTTTTAACAGCAGCTTGTAGCTACCAACCAGCAGGGGATGGGCAGCTCCAAACTCCTGGTCATGGAAATTCCAGTGGGATTAAACCTCTCCATTGGTTTAATGCTCTTGAGGGAAGCGTGGCCCTGCCCCAGAGCTGCTGGTGGGAGCTCAAAGCAGGGCTCCAGCTCTTCACTTCCACGTTGGTGTCAGAGCTGCCACGTGTCGGTAACACCCCGCAGCGAGCTCGGGTCCTTCAGGTCTTTATTATCACCAAGCCCATCTCGGCACGGAGCTCAGTGTGTCTGCTCTCTGAATGGGCAAGGCCAAGTTGCCCTGTGGCTCCAGAGAGTCTAGGGTGTGAAAAGCCCCGTTTGGGGAGGCAATGAGCCTTCCCCTTGCAAAGGAGCGGAGGATTGGAGAGCAGAGATTACAGCACCTAATAGCGCGTACCTAATCTTCGGGAGCACGGACCATGACTGCGGCTCCTTGGGCCAAACCAGCCTTGACTTGTCCATGGGGCAAGGTGTGGCCTTCAGGCTGGTGCAGAGAGCATGCAGGCAAGGGCGGTGGGCCTGAAATGGTGACTTGGCACGGCTAAGGGGTAGATCCAGCTGGAGCTGGGACTTGCACATCACTATCAGTTCAGTCTGGAGCCACTGCATGCAGGGAATGGGAGCCCAAAGAGCAGTGAGGGCGCAGCTGAAGAGGTTGGGAGGTGCTGGGATGGGATGGCCGGTTGCCTGTTTGTGTGATCAGATGATGCCCATCCACTTGGAGCACTTTTTGCTGTGGATTCCACGCTTTTGAGAGGTTTTCCTGTTCTTTTTTTTGCTGGGTGCTCCTCCTCTGGTTTTACCCAGCTGCAGTATGAAGGGGGCAGCAGATTCCCTGGCTTACCTTGGGAAGCTTTGCTGGATTCCTGCTGGATGTCGCACTTTATGCAACCAGCGAGCTCCTCCATCAGCTGGAAGCCCTCATGGCATTTGCTGCTGTATCCTTACCCGACCCGGGCACTCGGCAGACATTCCTGGGGCAGGCTGTCATGTTGCTCCATGCCCTGCTCGGCAGACGCTCACACATTCCTTCCTCTGGCCAAGCTGCTTCCAGCTTCCTGCCAGTCCCAAAGAGCTCTGCTCTGTGGAGCTGCTGCTGGGACACGTTTCATCCCTCATGCCCCCAGCACTGACCGGTCCAGCCAGGCTTGAGCCTCCCCACAGGGCTCTGCTGGGAGCCATGGTGCTGTGTGTGGTGGTTCGCTGCTTTCTGGTGTGTTTCTTCTCCTTTAACAGCACAGTTGATGCTGGGGATGCTCTGTGGGAGGCTTTGCCAGCACTGGGAATGTGGTTGCCATCACTCAGCCCATCTTGTGAGCTGGTAAAGGCCACTCTTGGTGGGTATCTCGGAAGCCTGCGATGTCAGTGAGTAACGAGGCCATTCCTGTGCTGAGCCATCAGTTCTGTACTAGAGCATTCCATGTGGCACCTGAAGCAGAGAGCAAGACACTTTGCTGGCCACCTTCCCATCTTCTCTGGTACCATTCAGCAAAGGGCTCTGACCTCAAGTTATCCCGAGCTGTGTTACCTCCTGCCTGGTTCCCTTCTGGTTGCGGCTTCCTTTCCTGCTGATGCCCAGCTCCATTGCACGCAATATCCCTTTCCAGTAAGAGGTGGCATGGGAGAGCGGGGAAGCTCCGCACAGCAGTGCCAGGGCAGCTGGGATTGCTGCTTTCCCTGTGGCTGGGGTTGAGGAAACGGAGCCGTGCTCTGGACAGGAAGCAGACATCGCTTGGTGGGGGAATAGTGCTTGGGAAGTGCTGAAAAGCCTGGGGCCGGCTGTGTCCGTGCAGGGTTTGTCATTGTAGGACTGGGAATGGAGGCAGGGATGTGGGTGAAGCACTTGAGCTTTTCCAGGTGATGAACAGAACTGATTGGAGGCTCGATGTGGAATCAGGCAGGTCTAAGCTCGTGCTAGGGAAGGGCTTGCTGGGAAGTCCTTTACAAATACGCATATACTGAGATTAATGGGCTATTCCTTTGGAAGCTGGCCTTTGGGAATCCCTTTGGGAATCCCTGCTGTGTTTCCTGCACCTCTTGACTCTCTGCTGACTGAACATAGATTTTGCTACCCAAAGCCAGTGAGAAAATCTGTTTCCATTCCTTGGGGCATGCTGATGCTTCAGCGCTGTCCACAACCGGGCCAGAAAACCCAATTCCAAGGTGATTCCTGTGTAATAGAGGCCGGAAAGCCACTGTGCTCTTGTTATTTGCATGGGTAAGGAAGAGACAACTGCTGTGACACACTAAAAGCCAGTGAAGAGGCCAGTTTTCAACCAAAGGGGGTTTGTGCCTTTAAAAGGTTGCAGAAGTTGTGTCTGAATCGCATACAGTTGATTTAGCTGCTGCTTGTTGATAGCAGAACTGTTTGAACCAGCTCCGAGCGGTGTTTCTCGGTCCCTGCTCACACCACAGATGCTCTGAACCTTCTGACAAAGCAGAGCTCAGGCTGTTTGAGCTCTTGCATGAAGAGCAGTTAGCTCTACCTGCTTCGTCTCTGGGACATGGAAGAGCATGGAGTAACTTGCTGCAGGTCTACATGGCTTGGTTTGAGCTTAAGGCTGTTTGAAGAGCTCTAAAAGCCCTTTCTGGCTGCTGAAGGGTTAAGGTGGGTAATAGCTTCAATGGAGTATCGAAGAATTCGAGGTATTCAAGGGGAGATGGAAGCTGCAGACTGCGCGCTGCGGGAAGGGGTGCGGGTGTGAGGATGCTCTGCCCTAGGACCCCGCGCTCCTGTGTCTTTGTAGAGAGCTCTGGGAGGCTCTGACCTGGATTGGGGTGCTCCGGGTCTGTGCTCGCTGTGATTGCGCCCTGCATGGACGCGTTTGTCCCGGGGAAACATTCCCGGTCCCCCCCCATTTCTGCCCTGCGTGCAGCCCTTCTGCTCGGGTTACAAGGCAAGCCCATGATATCACCGCTCACTGGGGCTGGAGGGGCCGGCTCTTGGGAGGGGTTTGCTTCCCTGGCTCCAGTGAAATTGGCCAGGAAGCAGCCGCTTCCCGCACCACATCGCTCCGGCTGCGGGAGGCTCCCAGCGCCGCGGGCACCGCTCGGCTCGGCCCGGCAGGAAGAGCTCCATGCGGCAGGACCGGGCATCGCTCCCCGCCGGCGCAGCCCAGCGCTAACGCCAAGGTAACGGCGAGCCGGAGGTGAAGGGGGTGATGAGTGCTTGGAGCGTTTCTGACGCTCTCTTGCTCCGGGGGCTGGGAGTTGGAGCTCGCTGCTTCCCTTCTCTCTCGGAGCTGTTTTCCTTCCCTCCGGTCGGTTGGTTCTGCAGTGGGATGTTCCCATGGGACAGGGCTGCTCCTTCCAGTCCTGGCCCCCAAGACTTGCTTTGGCAGAGGTGGGACAGCCCAGATGCTCAGTGCTGATGGCAAATGTGTTGTGAGCAAGGTAAAGGTCTTCCCCCCGCTTTGCTCTCAAGATGTGCTGCAAACAAGCCCAGGCAATGCATGTGCTGTGATACTGCTAAAATCGGCTTGATTCGGAGCAGAAAGCTGCAGCCCTGGGTACACGATGCCGGGTACACGATACCAGGTACACTTCAGGAGCAGCTGAAGCTCTCCTCTCTGCAGAGCTGCTCTTTCAGGGGAAAGGCTCCAGGGCAGCAGATGTTTCCCATTGGCAAAGCAGTTTTGTCCCTGGTTAAGGAACTTTCCTGCTCTCAATTGCTTGGGATTTGCAGCCCTCACCCTGTCAGCACCGTTCCTTAGGGCTGGTTCATCACAGGGGTGCTCAGGATGGCTCCAGGATACTCAGAACCGGGGGAGGTTTCTCTCTGTGCTGACCCTTCCCCAGGCTGCTTTTATTGCCTTTTATGAGCAATGAACGCGTCCAGGGGCTAAATCTGAAAGCAAATGTGCATTGCTTCACTTGAAGAAATAGATCTGGGAAGAGGCCTGGATTTGGAAGCCGTAGGAAGCGTTCAGCTGAGCCCTTGCATGAAACGTGTTGGCCATGGACCAGGCTGTTTTGGCCTGCAGAAATCACTGCATCCTTTGGAGAGCAGCACACTGCTAAACATGGATCTCATAGGTGTTATCAGTGGTGTAAAGGGCTTTGGTTGGGCAGTTGCCACAAACACTGGCTCTTTGTTGTTAGACCTGTAGCTGTCTTTGAAAGAAAACACAAGCCAGGAGCCTTTTCCTTCCTAACTGATGTGTTTGTCCATCAGGGCTCCTCTAGCTTCAGCAGCGAGTGATGGCAAGCAGCATCCATCCCTGGGCTATAGGTGTGTGCTTGCTGCCTGGTCAAAGTGCTCTGTTGTACTTCATCCTTACCACTTGGCAAGCACTGCAGACTGTTTTCTCTTCCAGACAGCACATAGTTCATTGAGTTTTGGGAGGAAATAAAAGAACCGGGTGTCTATGTAGGTACGTTTGAGTGTGAAATAGATGCCAGAAAGTTCTTTAGTTATCAAGTGATGTTTCTCTCTCGAGTGAGATCTTGTGGCTGGTAAAGCCATGGCAAGGCTCTAGCTTTGCCTTGTGTGAGCTTTCCTTCTGTGAGACGGCACAGTGGGACTTGGCTCTCTCTTTCCCTGCAGCATCCCCGCAGACCAGAAGCAGCAAATTGCATTTGGAAGCTCCCCTGATGCTTCCCACCAGTTGAATTTGGTACTGGTTGCCCTTGGCCAGCCTGCAGTGATGTGGAATACCTTCCTTAAGGTAGCTCTCAGGTTGCAGGTTTTGCTTTCTGAGCAATGGCAGCTCTCTAAAGCGACTGTGGGGCTTGGGCTTTGATGGGGCACATGGTTCTCTCCTGAGCTCCTTATCCACTGAGGTAAACCCTGTTCCTCTACCTCATAGGTCTCTGCTGTAGATTTGGGTTTATTGCCATTGCTTGGTGTATCTGGGCCTGCCAGTGACATGTATGGGTTCATATTTTAAGAGGAGGATCTGAACAAGAGGGCTCTTACAGCAGGGTTGTCATCAGTGGGGTTTTAACCTACGACAGCATCACCTCTAGTGCCTGTGCAGGGGAGCTGAGCCTCTTGGGACAGTGGGGAATGTACCCAAGTGAGTGGTAGCATCTCTGTTCACTGTAATAGCCCTGGAGAGGGGCCCATGTGATTGCCATTGGTTTGCCTGGAGAATGCTCCTACAGCAGTGGGAATCCCGCTCCTGTCCCACGGCTGTGCCCGAGGAATGCTCTTTGGGCAATGGGGCTTGGAGCTGGAAATGCAGCGGGAGGATTCCTGCTTGGTGCTCCCGGCTGAGAGGCAGGCATGCAGCAAGGTCCGAGTGCCAGTTGTGTCTTCCTCCCAATGGATGCCAAGCCCCACGGAGCACTGCTGGCTCTCCAGGCACAAAGGACTCAAATCAACCCCTCCAGTCTTCCCTTGGTTGTCTGGATAAGGATGGAAGCAGGAAAGCTGGTTCCTGGGTTGATGTGAGCTCATCTCTTGTTTGGATCATTGGGTGGCCTTCAAAAAGGAATTCCTGTTGGTAGGAACAGGTTTGGCTCTGGGGAGATCAGAATTCCATAGGCTGCACCAGGGAAGCCTCTGAAGAAGATCAATATTATCTTGCAATGAAACTGTTCTTTCCTTATAAGCCTGCATCTGTTCCCTTCCAGACTGAGCCTGAAAAGGGCTGACTCAGCAGCCAGCAGGAGCGTGCCTTAAAGCCTTCAATTACACAGTAGTGCAGTGATGGAGAATCACCCTATGGCCTCAAGCAGAGGATGGGGAGCCAGGAGACCTGGAGCATTTTCCTGTTTTTTCCACTGACTTTATTCAATGGGATTTTTCATGTTCTCTCTTGGAGGCTTTTGAATGGGGAGACCAAAATATATACTTTTAGGATGACATCACTATTAAATCTGGAGGCCGTTAAGGAAAGGGAGTGAGGGGAGGAATGAGCCCTGCAATAAAGGGAATAGTCAGCCCAAACCCAACGTCCTGTGCTGCTTTATCAACCCTCTAGACCAGCTCTTGTGTGCTGGATGCAGTTGTAATGGCTCCCAAGAGCCAGAGGTGGAAGAAGCTGTTTCATAGCCCATATATCTCATCCCAGGGACTAGCGGGGAATCTGCTGTTGAGACTTTCCAGTGTTTTCCCTGTTGTTCTTTGGGGCTTGTTGTTCTGACATGATTCTGCTGCTGTTTGGCTTGCCTCAGTGGGAAGTGGACGGAGGGATGGATTGACGGAGGGATGGATTTATGGATGGATGGATGGACAAGAGGGATGGATGGATGGATGCCGCTGCCTCTCCAGTGCCGCATCTCCCTGGTCCCTCCTGACCAGCCTTGAACAGAGGCAGAAAGCCAAGAGCCCTTCTCAGTGCCACGGTGTTAGGTGGCTCCTCTGATCACGCTGGGCTCCTGAGGCTTCCCCGCTATACCTGGGCTGCTCTTTCTTGTGCCAATAACATCCCCGTGCCCTTATTCCCCTGGATTCTGCTTTTCCTGACCTCGTGACTGAGTCTGAGCAGTTTCCCTTGAACACCTCTGGGTCGGGGGGTTCTGTTTCGGGGGCGATGCGAGCACTGGGGAAGCTTTGTGTCCCGCTGTGTGAATGCATGGCTGTTTGAAGCGGATGGAGACGGGACCTGGAGGAGAGGTGGGCTCTGGGTGCCGTGCTCGCTGTGCTGCTGTCTCCTGGAGCACTGCTCAGAGCCTGCAGGGAATCCCTTTAGGATTCGCTTCCACAGCTGGAATAGGACTGGAGGGGGGATTCTGGAATGGTTTTCCCGTCCCTTCCCCTGACAAAGATGAGCTACGATGCTCCATGTCCTGAGCACACAATGTGTGTCCGAGTCCTTTCCCTCGGGAAAGGCTTGGGATCGTGCTCATGCAGGCTCGTTCAAATCCCTTTTTGCTGGCCCTGGACAGGGGGCTCTGGGGCAGCCTTATCCTCGGGCCAGGTTTTCTGCTCTAAGCTTTTGGGGAACAGAAGCAAATGTGGGGCAGTTTGGGGGTGTTCGACCCCTTTGGCTTTGCCAAGAGCGACGACGACACCTCCTGTATTGACCAGAATCCCAATGGGCATCTCCCAGGCTGAGCTCGGTGTCAGGTGTAATAACCTGGCAGGCTGTTGCATGTTTTAGGGATAGCAGAGAGCGGGAGTACGGGAGCGTTTCGGTTTCTAGGCATCTGGGTTTGGAGCCAAGCCTTTCCCCTTCTCCCTCCCCTCTGGTGGCTGCCAGGAAATAAGAGAGTTTTAAAGGGCTGGGAGCTGTTTCCCACCGCACTCTGGCATTGCTTCATTTGGAAACTATGGGATCCTCAACCCCCCGTGTGCTGCTTGTCCGCTCCATGCACTGGGTGAGGCTGGGGACGATGGGAGCAGGCAGACGGGGACCAGGATTTAACTCTGCATGGAATCCCTCAAATGAGTCAGTAAATTGCTGGTTCCTGCTCCGAATGCCAAGCTTATGGAAGGATGGAGCACTTGTCTGACCAGCAAGGCCCTGTCCAGGCTCAGCAACCCAAAGCTGGAGACCATTAGTCACTACTCCATTGACAGACAAGGTGAGCGAAGTGTCTGTGTACGGTAACATGTCGATTCCCTATAGATGGAACCAGACACGCAGCAAGAGAAATACATCCATCATTGCACTGGGAAAACAGATGTCAATAGGAATAGCAGATTGTAACACATCTCATTGCCTTCTGCTTTTCCACTGTTCAAGGGGTGGTTCTGGCTTCCTTCTTGAAGGAAGGATGGGACAAAAAGGGTTCAGTTGTGTCCTGGTAGGATTTGACCTGAGGTTTGCTGGAGCCACTGAACTGCTGGGTCTGCAGAGAAATAGGAAAATCCATTGTGTTTGCAACCTGTTCCTATAGGAAAAAAGGGTTTTCCAGCTGAAATGATTTGGCAAGTTGCCCTAAACTTAGCTTTAACGGGAGGGGGTTTTCAGCTCCTCCACCCCACAAGAAATCCTGTACTTGACTTTGGTCATCACAGGCGTCATTGGACATGGCCTGTTCCTCAGCTCTGTTCCCTGCTGAAGCAAGAGCTACAAAGTCCATGTGGTTACCAAGCCTTACCCAAGCTTTGTTCCCCTCCAGGCCAGGCCCGCAGCACCTCCCTGCACCGACCGGCAGCTGCTAGCAGAGGCTTTGGCCCTGAGCACTGAAGATGGGCAGATCCCTGGCTTTCATCTTCATCCATAACCACTGTTTCATCGCGCTGCTCCTTGCCTCCTTGAGCCCGCCGAGCCTTGCCCAGTACGAACACTGGCCCTACCTCCCCGGGTACCCTGAGCCCCCCCCCCAGGTGTACCAGCCCCCCCAGAGACCAGCCAACGTGCCCAAGATCCAGCTCCGGCTCGCAGGGCAGAAGAGGAAGCACAACGAGGGCCGGGTGGAGGTGTTCTACAGCGGCGAGTGGGGCACCGTGTGCGACGATGACTTCTCCATCCACGCCGCGCACGTGGTCTGCAGGGAGCTGGGCTACGTGGAGGCGGTCTCTTGGCTACCCAGCTCCAAGTATGGGAAGGGAGAAGGTAAGGACATGCCAGGGAAGCAGAGACTGCGTGTCTGCAGCTCCCAGGAATTCCAGAGCTCCCTGTCCTGTTTAAGATGCGGTGATGCTTCCTACAGGCATCCCCAAGGCAGCCTCTTCTGCATTGGCAATCTTCAGACAAGTTTTGGTACCCCAAAACAGGGGAACTGTTTGTTGGCTTTTGCACCCTGTAATGTAGGGGCCAAAGTGCAGGGGAGCACCATGTGCCCAGCACTTTTCCATAGGGAAAATGAGCCCTTTGAGAAGGGGAATCTCAGAGATGCCGCTGAGGTTTTTGCTCCTATGTTTTGGAGGTGGCACCTATTGATTTTTGTCTGTTTAACTTGGAAGTGAGTTCTGAGGGACCTGATTAAAGAATATCTAATACATTATATGTATATGCATGTACATGTGCATGCCTGTGTGCACACACGCTTTTGGCTGGGGGAAAAATGGCCATTGCAGTCTGGAAACTGGACCTGGCCGTTTGCTTTCCAAGAGCACCCAAACCCCAGCAGGTTCCAGTCCATGGGGCTGTGTTAAAGCTTAGGCAAGGACCTGCTTTTGAGAAGCCAGGGTGTTCAAGCAGAGCTTGAGCTGCTCCTCCAAGAGCTGTGATGAGGATTGGAAACGTGATGGAAAGAGAGGGCTGATGTGGTGTGATCAGAGGTGTGATCGTGCCAAGCCGAGGGCACTGGTGATGCTGTGTGCTCCGAAGGGGCTGTCATCAGAGGAGGTCAGCACTGACTGCATCAAGGACCTGCTTCACTCTGAGCCTGTTCATTACCATGCAGATAAGGGAAAGGGAAAGCTGTGGGGCAGAGCTGGTTCCCGTTAGGAAGCACTCAAAGTGAATCATGGATGTTCCTTAGCTGGTTTGTTCAAGCTCGCTTCAGCAGCGCTCTCTTTCCCTGCCACAGAGCACAGCACCTTGCTTGCTTCCAGTGCAACCCAGATGCACCCCTTCCTCGAGGCTCAGTTCTGTTTCCTTTCCCCTTCAGGGAAGATTTGGATGGACAACGTCCACTGTAACGGGAAGGAGCCCACCCTGGCTGCATGCACTTCGAACGGCTGGGGAGTGACTGACTGCAAACACACCGAGGACGTGGGGGTGGTCTGCAGTGAAAAGAGAATCCCTGGCTTCAAGTTTGACAACTCCCTGCTTAACCAAATAGAGGTAAAGGTGCTTACGGCTGCACACTGCTGCCTCGGAGGCATCCCTGTCTGCTGCTGGACAGCGCGGGTTACCCCAGCTGCACGCTATGGTTAAAGCAAACTCAGCAGTGCTCCTAGGCACTGGCTGAAGATGCAATTTTCAGCTGGTCAGACCACTGCGTGTATGATAAGAATCTGAAAGTGGGGGTTGGGGGTTGGTTTTAATAGCATAAGGGATGAGAAAATAGGTTACTCCTGTTCTGCAGTCACTGTTTAATTGCAAACTGGTTTATAGCTTTTCTATGAATGGATTGAGAGGCGTGATGGGTGCCGTGCTCATAGACCTTCCATCCGGGTGACTTTGGTGGTTCATAGGATTAAACAATGAGTTTTCTTCCTGTCTTTACCTCCCTTTTGGTACTGGGAACAACTGGGAGGTCTCCGGCATAACCAGGGGTGAGCTGGTAGGGTTTGGCTTGGAGGTGAATAGGGCTTTCAGCCATGACGTGGAATGGGAGGATTTAGGAGAGAGATAAAGCTATTTTTGCACAGTGTGGTTAAGCAGAGCTGAAGTAACCATGATAACTGGATGGAAATATTTGTGGGAACGGGGGATTAGTGTGCAGGAAGTGCTGAAAGGGGTTGAAGAGGGGAAAACGTGGGCTGGTCACTGGGGGAAAGGCTCTGGATTGCGCCTGGGTTAGGCTAAGTGCTTGAATCACCACCCAGGACCGTTGTATTCTTGCAGAATAAGGAGCTGGGAAGAACTAGGGGAAGAAAGTGGTGTTTTTCCTTGGGCTTTTCAGGTTGGAAAGTATTTGTGGTGACTCCGCTCCAGCTCCCTTGTTTCAGGTGCTCTGCTGTGCCAGTGTGTTCGGTGGCTGCTCATGGTCAAAAGAGCCCATCCAGTAACTCCAGCCGAATCCTTTTAAGCAGACAGGGAATCCAGGATGTATCCCATCACAGCGAGGTTTCCACGCCTGAATCTTGGCTTTGTTCATGGTCTCAAACAATGGATACAGCTGCTTTCATCACTCTAGACCCAAATCACTCTGGCAGTTACAGCACAGCCACTGGTTCCCAGCATTTCCCTCTCCTTTAGGAAGCGCACTGCACGGGTGAGCGGGCACCATTCAACACCTCCATGGAAAGCTCCTTGCGAGGGGGCAGATGTGGGATGTGAGAGCCAAAATGCCCTTCCTTGCCTTGCCCTTGCTTCGCTTGGCTCAGGAGGGAAAGACGGCTTTGCAGAGGGATCCAGCTTGGGATCCTGCCTCTGTCAATGGCACCGTTGTTGCTCAGGGAGTGAGGCGAGCTCATGGAACATCACTGATGGCTTTGGCAGACGTGTGCTTCCCAAAGCCACAGGGAAGCCTCACAACGGAGGCCTGGAAGAAAAGATGCTTTCGTCTAGACGGAGGTCACTTCTCTCTTGTATTAATCATAAAGGCTTTAGAGGGTCTGCTTTTCCATTAGCTCAGCCCTGGGGTTTGACTAATGAGTTGAGCACATTGGGTAATGCAGGGCGTGCTGGTGCTGTGTGGGTGCTTGAGCTTCATGTATGAGAAGTAAAATGAATCAGAAGGTTGAAGCAGTTCGTGGAGCAGAAGCCTGGGTCATCAATAGGAGAAATAGATGGAAGAGAAGTCATATTCCCCGTGCCCTGATAGTGCCTGGGAACTGTGGATGGATGAAGGCATCCACTGATGTGATCAACAACAGTATGGGGGGGGGACACACGACACTTGTTGCTTCTGCTTTATGAAACCCAACTGACTTTACCTGTATCCCTATAAGATCATTGGCAGCTGCAGGGTTCTTCTCCCACTGGTTGCCTTGCAGCAGGACCAAGGCTGAAGGTGATGTGCTATATGCATTTTTAGGATGCCATTGTGGATGCGCTCTTCAGTCACAGCTCCCTGCCAATGGGGAAACTCCTTCCCCCTTTCTCAGCCTTCCTCCTCTCGATCTTTGCTTTCCCTCAGCAGCTGCTGTGCCGTAGTTTGAGCCAAAGCTGATGAACAGGGTCGCAAACTCCCAACCAGGGAGGTCAAAAGGCTGGTGTGAACGTACGCTGGAAGTCTTTGCTCTCTCCAGCCCGCCTGGGAGCCCTGCACGTCATACCTCCCATCCACCAGAGGAAACGGCACTGGTTTGCAAGCTGCTGGTCCTTTAGGCTGTGGCCCAAAGCTTGCCCAAGTGATGTTTTCTCTTTGGAATGAGACCGGGGGTTGAGGGGCCTGGAATTCTCTGCTGTGGTCAGGTCTCTCCACCAGCCCCACTGGCTTCAGTTATTGCGCTGGCAGAGCTAAACCCGCCCAATCCCAACCTTTCAGATTGCCCTCAAACTGCTTTTAAACCAGGCTTGGCTGGAAATAGGCCTGCTTTAAGGCTATGCTCAGAGCTTGCATGTTCAGTGGTACCTCCCTTTGCTTCTGACAGGCAGAGTTCACACTTGTGAAAGCCCTCGAGCCATTTGCTTGGCCTGGGCAATGCCCACCTCTGCATCTCCCAGTCTAGAAACACAGCAGATAAGAGGTGTAGGATGAATTTTTCCATCCCTGTAAACCACTTGGCTTACACACATCTGTGCTCAGACCTTTTCCCATCGCAGCTCATACTTTGAGGGTTAAGTCACTTCTCTTCCTGTCCCTGAGCCTTTCCATCCCCTGCCTGTTGGGAAGGGGCAGTGCCTGACCCTGCTTCTGTAAGACAAGTTGCTTGTCACAGCCTGAAGTGGAAGGTTTCAGTTGAGGGTGAGTGATGGACGGTGGTGATGAGATGAGAGACGGGCAGGAAGAGGTTAATCCTGTAACAGGACAGAGCTTGGGGCAGGTCTGAAATCCATCAGTGCCTTGTAAAGGGCAGCGAAGCTCCATCGCTTTTGCTTGGTGTTTTCTGCAGCTTTTAGCCTTGGGACTTGTTCAAAGGGTTCTGTCTGGGAGCGTGATGAATGGGCAGAGCAGAGCAGCCCTCATGGGCTGCTGCCAGCTCGGAATTAGCCCGGTCCCCTTTTAGCTCAGGGGCTGCACAAACACCGGGGGTTGCTCGCCTTTGCAGAGCAGGGGAGCAGTGTTTGTTCAGCACCGATGTGTGATGGCATCAAGTGCGTTTCTCACAGGGGCTTTTCCACCTCCTCCTCAAAGCATCTGGACTGCATAGGCAGCGAGTGGAGGGAGCAGGGCTTGTGCTTTGCCTTTGTTATTGCCTCTCTGCCTCTGGGAGCATTAGGAGGGGGAAAGCAGGGACGGATCCTGCTGGAATCGCATCCTCTCCCTTCCTGCAGACCCGGTGAGCTCTAGTTCCCATCAGTGGCTTGGTGGCGCAGCTCGGGTTCTTGCCTTGCAGCTCACAAGTGTCTGAAAGCAGCCGAGTGGGCAGCGTGGTCCTGCCTTAAGCTCCTTTATGGAGTGCCAGGGGCTGCACTTTGAATGCCTGCACAGGCTCCAGTGTTTTCCCAGGTGTGTGCAGGATGCCAGAAGCTCTGAAATCAAAGGGATCCAACGAGTGCTCACAAACCCAGGAGCAGGGAACGCTCTTCCAGGCCATGCAGCCACTTGGGGCTGTCCGGACACAGCACAAGGCCTCCTGCAAGTGCCTAAATGGGCTGAGCACCAGTCCGAGGACCAACTCCTGCCCTTAATGGATTTCTTGTATAAATGCACATAGTGAATTCAGTTTAACCCAGAAACACCCCTAACAAAATATTTGTTGTCCACCCTCTTCCTCCGGGTGCACAGAGAGGCTGCAAATAGGACATACTCTAAATATATCGCATTCCTGAGCACATTACACGCTCACAAACAGGTCTGGTACCTGAGACCAGCCCCAGCTTTGGCCAGACGGTGGGCAGGCAAAGTCTAGCTAAACACAGCAGCTATTTCTGGCTGCCTCTTCCTTTCTGGGGGTATGTGAAGTATAAAGGAACCTCACTTCCAAGCCCAGTGGCTCAAAGGCTCTGCTTATCCCATCTCAGGCTTCAGCTCTCTGTCTTGGCCATTCAGTTCTCAGGACATTTGGCAATGAAAGGTTTCTTTGCCTGTTTGTTATGACAACAGTGGCTTAATTTCTGTCCCCTTGGTGTAAATGTTTGCTTCTCTCAGCATAAGCCCGTGTGCAACATCAGTGCTGATGCTTTGTGAGCCTAGCGGGGATCTTCAGCGTCTCCTCTGCAGCAAACTCCAGCTGCTATTAATGAAGCTGCTTTGGGATAAATCACTGCTTTCCTTTAGTGCTGTAATTGAGGGGGGGGGGGGGTGTGATAGCTGGGAGCTGCTTCCCTCAATGGGCTCTTTGTGGTGGCTTGTGGCATGTCGGGGTGCTGAGTTTGCTGGGCAGAGACCTGGTGCCTGTCCCCTACCTGGAGGTGTGAGCCATGAACCCCACAGGCAGGGCTGAGGAAGCACCGAGGCTGCAGTCCCTGCTTGTCTCCTTGCCCTGCCTGCATCCACCCTCGTGCTGGCTGTGGCACCATCTCTCTGTTGCAAAAGACAACGTTTAACTGAGCCCGGGAGCAGGGTGTGATCTTGGTGTGGTTTGCAGTGGGGGGGTCAGGTAGTGAAGGAGGTTTCCTTGCAGCATCCGCTCCAGCTTGTCTGGGTCAGGAGAAAGGAAACGGGGAAAGTAAAAGCTTTGCTCAGCCAGAAACCCTCTGACCACGATGTGCACAGGACAGAGCAGCGTCCTGCCTGGAGCTGAGCCTCCCACAGCATCTCCAGGGCTCTGCTCCTGCCTTCTCTTGCTCCTGTCACCAGTTTCTTTGCTCTGGTGCTTTTCATCGTCCTGCTCTGCACTGGCAGTGGCGAGGCTGCTGCTGGAGCAGTTCACAGCTCAGCAAAGGCCTTGGCTTTTGTCAGTTCCAACCCTGGCCCCTAATCCGGGGTTGCTCTCTCAGCCCTTACCCTTTTGTACTGCACAAACCCAGAACAAAAAGCGCTTGCGGTCCCACACAGCATCACATTCCCAGGGGATCGCAGTCCCCCATCGGCCACCGGCCTTGGTCTCGCAGCATCCATCTCCCTGTGTTTGTTTAGCAGCTGGGACTTTGTCAGTGACTCGGAGGCACGGCTCCAGATGGTTAAAGCAAAACAGATTCCACCCATTCCTCGGGATGTGAAGAGAGAGCTTTGTGAGGAGTCGGCGTCGGGGGGCAAGAGCTGGGAGCTGGGACTTCAGTGGAAGCGAGCGCAGGGTTTGAAGAGGGGAGAGGAGATGCCCCGGGGTAAAGTTTGTGGAAGGAGTTTGGTTTGTGTTTTTAATAGTGCAAAAGAAATCGTTTCTGGTCCAGGCTGCAGCCTTAAAGCCTCTGTGTTTGGGAAGCCAAGAACTGGAGCTCCACTCTCCAGGAGAAACGATGATCTGCATCGCTTTCTGCATCTTAAAGCAGGAGAGCAGAGCATATGGGTTAGGTGGGGACAGAGAGAGCACCTCCATCCCCTGCCCTGCGCTCCTCAGCATCACCACTGGGGATGGGCTCCATCCTGGTGCCCTTGCTGCCTGTTTCGGGCAGTTTCTCTGTCCTTGGCTGTTCAGACCCATCCCAGGCAGGTCTCTTGCTGCTTCCTGACCAGTCCCACTGTGCATGGGGGGTGTTTCAAGTGAGTGCTGGGATCCTCTTGAGCTCACTCCTGAACCGGGTCTCTTCTTGTGCTTTGTGGGTAGAAATCCCCCCCAGAGCTTTTCCCTTGTACTGAGGGAGCTGTGCTCTGGCTCTGGGCCTGGTTTTCTCCCTCCCTCCCTGCTTTGCATCCCTCACACTGAGCAAACCGCATCCATCAGCTCTGGGGCTCGAGTCCCTGTTTCCATACCTATAATCAGGGGTGCAGCCAACCCGGTTGTGTTTCCTAGAGGTACCATTGCTCTCTGAACGACTGCTTGGCTCCTGCAGCGTCGCTGAAGGCTTTGCTTTATGGCTGATAGGGGAGGTGGGAGCTCACCAAGTGCCCATTCAGGTGCTGAGCGCGTTGCTTTGTGATCCCTGGGAGGGTTTAACCAGTTTCCCTTGTAGCTGCAGTGCGTGGCTTCAATGTGAGCAGAGATAAAGCTTTCAGAGATGGGTTTTCCCTGTTGAGGGGACAGCTTGTTGTGGGTGTTTGTCTCCACGTGTGCACAAAGCATGGGGAGGGTGATTTTGGTGTCTGTTGTAGCCATTAAGGATTGTTTGCTTCTGATTTTCATGTGGAGCCTGTTTTCCCCATCAGGGGCTCTGCATGCTGGTGTTGGATGATGCAGGACATCTGCCTCCATGTGCATGATTGAGCGCTCTCAGGGTAACAGAACCTCTGCAGCAAAGCCATCAAAAGCTGCAGAATTAGAGGGAGAAAACTCCTGGTTCCTGCTCCTTGGGAAACCTGCGGCTTCCTCAGCTTCATCCTTTGGTCTTGAGCCTTCTGCTATAAAGCTGAGCTCTACAATGCCTTGAGCTGCTCTATGAGCAGTGCTGTGCTCTGATGCTCCCCTCTGGGAGTGGGAAGGGGATTGGGGTTGCTCTCAGCCACATCATGAAGATGTCATTGCGTGCCGGTCTGCTATAGCTATCTGAGGACTGAAATACCCTCCAGGGAGGGAAATGATGGCTCAGTTCTTGCTGATTTGCTCACTTTGCTTCTTCATTCTTGGCAAGTGCAGGCAAAAAAAAACCATGACAAAGGAGTTGGACTCACTGGAGAATCCCAGGGCAGAGCAGGGTTTGGGTTTGTGTCTATGTCAGCATCTCCAGGGGAAGAGAGATGTGTTGTGGGACCTTGCTTAGGAGAAACTCTCTGCATTGCAGATGGACTTCCAGACTACACAGGATGCAAGTTTGCTCTGGCACCTTGGAGTGCCTCAGATCTAACAAAGTCAGGTATTGCTGTGGTGATTCTAAGAACCAAGGCCCAAAGCGTGGCCCCGGTATGAGCAGCACTGTCCCAAGGGTAAATCACAGCAGTTCATTTTCTAGGTTTTCCATGGATGCTGAGCTGCTGCAGGGAGGGAGGAGTCAGTCGTGTGTTTTGCTGTAAAATAGGTGGTAAATAGAGATAATAAAGGGGAAACAAGGAAGAAGAAAAGCCTCAAGTGACTTGCCCCAGGTAGTGCGGGCAGAGCAGGGGCAGAGCTGAGGTTGAAGGGGAGATGCCCGCTTGGTCTCCACTTGCCTGGCTGCTGTCGGTTGTGTCAGTGCTGGAGATGGATGTGCCACGTGTCACCTGCAGGACCCTGCACGTCCTGCTGCGATCTCCTGCCTTAGCACCTCTGCCTGACCGGGAGCCTTGTGTCTCTTTAAAGCTCTGGGCATTCTTCTTTTCCAAGTCATTGGATTTGAGCAGAGGAGAGAATTCCTGAGCTCTGATGTAACCGTCAGCAGGACCACGTGTGTAATGCCGGTTTTGACAAGAAAAGGTCTCCTTGGAAGCGAGTTATAACGTTTTCAGTAGCTCTTTTGTACAGCAGTGATTTTCCAGCCCGACTTTGCTCCTGGGCTCGGGTCCCTGCAACGCTGGTTTGTGCCGTGCCCTCACGTAGGCTCCGAATGTGAAATCCATTCAATCTCCGTGACTCATTCGCTGTCCCAAGGAATGCTGCGGCTGGAGGAGGACCCTGGCCTGGGGAAGCAGCGAAGTGCTGGTGTCAGCACAGCAGGATTCCAGCTCTTCCAATGCCTGCCCAGGCCAGGAAGGGGAGGGATTCCTATGGGCTTGATGAGACCCCCAGTGTGAGGCTCCCACTTCCCTGCACCTTGCCAGCGTGAAGGTGGCCCTAGCAAAGCTGAGCTGGGTTCACTTCCATAGTAGCTGAGACCAAACTAATGCCCCCGTGCTTCTGAAACAAGCCCTTCAGTGGGTTTAAGTGGCGAGGGAGATTTCTTACACAGCTGTTTGTGAAATCACAGGGTTTCTTTCCCAGTGAGGAGCAGCATCCTCTTGCGCGGGCTGGAGGATGGGGTGGCACAGGGTGGAAAGGTCAAGTTGCTTCCCTGCTGTGTCTTTTCCTACTGCACCTCTCTAAGCAGAGCTGGGTTTTGCTCCCTCCTCGAAGCCGTTTCCTTGCAATCCAGCATCATCTCTGTTCCCTTTATGCTTTCAGAACATGAACATCCAGGTGGAGGACATCAGGATCCGTCCCATCCTCGCCACCTACCGCAAGCGGGTGCCCGTCACGGAGGGCTACGTGGAGGTGAAGGATGAAGGGGCCTGGAAGCAGATCTGTGACAAGCACTGGACCATGAAGAATTCCCGCGTCGTCTGTGGCATGTTTGGGTTCCCGAGCGAGAGGAAATACAACACCAACGTCTACAAGTAAGAGCAGGGCTTGGCGCGAGGGCACCAGCGGCTTCCTTTGCACACTTGGGTTCTAGCTGCCAAGTGAGCCCGTCCCTGCACCGAAGCAGCTGCAGGGTCAGGTCTGGCCTGTGCTGGAAGCTCCAACCAAGCCACCTTGCAATAAACCAGGTCTTTGAGCTTCATTGCCCAGGTTCCTCCTCCCCACCCCTGCAGTTCCTGGTCTCCCACCTCTCATGAAGTGTTCACGCACGTGGGAGCTGCTCTGGCTCTCACCAGCCCTGGTTTGGGGGGGTCCAGCTGCCACAAAGGCTATTTCCCCATGTGTCTCCCACTGCTGTTGACCCCAGTTCAGCTCCTTTGGCTCCCATCCCTCCAGGCCGCAGGCTGGAATTGCTGCAGCCATCCCCAGCTGTGTGTGACTTGCTCTGCCCATTCCAGCCTGCTCTGAACTGAGCACTGAGCTAAGGGCATCGGTAGCATCGCTCCTGCCTGCGCAGCTCAGATGGTGCTTGTAGAAAGATGCAGTTGTGATTTTAGTGCTGCTTTTCCTCCCTGTAGCTAGCTTTAAAATGAGGGAAGAAACCAGTGATCCACAGGGAGAGCATCATTGCAAGCTGATGGCTTTAGGCTGTGTTTCCTGTTTCTGGAGAGCCAGGAGCTCTGGGCTTTTTTATCACCGCTTCAGTTTGCGTTTCATCGCCAGCCTCCATCACAGCCGTGGTTCCTCCTACACTTTTCCCCAGGAATAACAGCCTAAAGCAGATGCAGAACAGTTTAAGTGAAATCCTGCCTCATTCCCTCCCTCCGCTGTGACCTGGGGAGGGGGAAAGTGGCGATGCTGGGGGGGAGAGCTGAGCTTTCCAGGCAGGAATGTGGTTTTCCTGCCTGCCCCTTTTGGCCTGTGGAAATGCTCTTTCTGAGCACTCCCCCTGGAGCTGCCTGGCCACGTTTCATTGCTTTCATTAGCCAGGTCGTGAATGAATTGAGGAGGTCCTTGGGTTGGAATAGCACAAAGCCACAGGGCACAGAGAGCATCGGGTTAAATAACCCGAGTGGAATTCCACTGTCAGGCTTCCCAGGGACGTGAGCAGTGGGTTCATAACGGGTACCAGGCAGCCTCACGCCCTGGACACCACTTTGAGGAGCGTCGCTTCCATCAGGGCTGCAAACTCCTCTCTGAGATTCCCATCCCCTGCGTCGGAGCAGGAAGGACGAATGAGCCCTGGTAGCACAGAGGAGATTTGTCCTGCTTCTTAGTTGTGGTGTTTCCAAGAACAGCATTAACTGGAGCAGCTGGAGCCATCTGCCTTCAATAAGAGGGGGCTTGGTAATTGTCCCATCTCTTGCAATAGAGATGGAAAAACTGAGGCACAGTTATCCAGCAAATCCCATCCATTGTGAGTGAAGCCTCAGAGCCCTTCCTCTCATTCCCCAGCCTTTGCTCTCCCTCATTTGTAATTCCCATTCTCCAAGAGCGGATCCTTGATGGGCTGGAATGGGGTTTCTGCTGGCTGGGGCCGAGTGCCCCTTCCCACATCCCTGCCAGCCCCATTGTCCGCGTGCTGAGCTTGCCGATCCCCTGCTTCTGCGCAATGGTGGGAGGTGAAATGATTTGCAGATGGATCTTGCTTGGAAGAAAACAGCTCAGTTCACGGCTGTCCCGGTGCCAAGGGTTTATTCCTGAGCACAGCCGAGGCTCGGGAGCTGACAGCGGGATTTATGGTAGGAAACGGAACAAATCCCGGCCTTGTTTCCATGTTCCTGCTCATTCTTCAACGCGATTTGCTGCGGGCATTGCCTGGGAGATCCTCCTCCCGATCCCTGCTCTGCTTGAGATCCCATTTGCTGATGGGGAGAGGAGAAGGTTCTGGCTGGAGGTGCCTCAAGCCGGGAGCTGGACCCGGTGCCTTCCTGAGGCCTTCCAGCTTTGTGATGTGTCCATAAAGGCACGGAGGAGCTCAGCAGTTCCAGGGTCCTTGGTTCAGCACCAGCCCAAACAGCATCGCCCCGTTTCCCCAGTGGGCTCCCAGCACTATGAAGCTGCTCAGTTACTCCCTGCCCTGCTTGCATAGGAATCCTCATGGCTGGGGTTCTCTCTCGAGGGCTTTGGCAGGAGGTGACAAGTCTGGCTCCTCTTGTGCCTCCCTGAGGCTGAAGGCAGCAACAGTAAAGGCTTGGAGAGCACCTCAAGGGTAGACCTTGAGCTGCGCGAGGTCCCCAGTCCGTTGTGTTTGGGTGAGTTTCCCCAGCGTGACCGCTGCAGTGATTGGTTTTGTGCTCCCCCATTCCTCTCGGATGCTCTCTTCCACCGCAAGGCTCCTTTAGCCAAACCTGAGGCCGCTTCCCGCAGCCCTTGGGCTCGGGCTGTGGCTCTGATTAAAGCCCATGTGAGGAAGGTCCCTGCCTCCTCAGCAGCAGGAATGGTTTGGACTCCAGCTTGCCCTGGAGTTGGCTGTGTGACTGCTCCCTTACACCTCTGCTCTGAGCAGCGCTGCCCTTGCCTTACACCAAGGCGGGGGAGAGGGGGGCTGCAGCCTTTGTGTTAAAAGGGGATGAACAAGGATGCCCTGGGTCCTGTCCGCACAAATCAGCGCTATTCCACTCCTTATCCCGGGGAAGCGAGGTGGGGCTTTCTCCGGCTCTTTCTCCCCAGCCTACCACGGGCTGTTAACGCCAACCAGATGTTGAAGCCTCCTGAAGTTTCCAGGATGAGGTCACTGTTTGCTATTATAAGGCATCTCCGCAATGAGGGCTCGAAGGCAGGCTGTGTTTGTCTGCTTTGGAGCTCTCCTCTCGTGTCTGCAGAGGGGAACGTTCCCTCAGGTTCCCACTCCCACACTGAGCACATGCAGGAGCACAGAGGGTGGTGGGGCAGAGCTGGGCTCTGCAGTGAGAGTGTGGGGTGGTGGGGCTGGACCGGATGCTTTCCAGGATGCTACACATGTCGAAAAGCCATGGAAGCCTCTGCCCTGGGGCTGCTGGAGCTCAGCACCCAGGTCCCACTTGAGCATCAACTGCTCTCCTCGATGGCAGAGCATGGGGGCAGATTCGGGCACTGTTTGCCCACTGCCTTTGAGTGAGCTGATTTCTGCCCTGTCCCTGGTGCAGGGATCCTCATGTGCCTGATCTTTAGCTGAAGGAGATGACCTCTTTGCTCCTAAGTGACACCGTAACAGAGTCATTGTGGGTGTGAATGGATGAGCCCTCAAACCCCGCTGCTCAATCCCATCCCCACGCAGTTCCTATGGGCTCCCTTCTCCCGTCCCTTCCTTGCAGGATGTTTGCCAGCCGGAGGAAGCAGCTTTACTGGGCGTACTCCATGGACTGCAGCGGGAACGAAGCTCACATCTCCAGCTGCAAACTGGGCAACCACCTCAACGTGGATGCGGGGAAGAACGCCACGTGTGACAACGGGATGCCTGCGGTCGTCAGCTGCGTCCCGGGCCGGGCCTTCGCCCCCAGCAGCCACAGTGGCTTCCGAAAAGCCTTCAGGCAGGAGGTGAGGAGATGCTCTGTTGAGCTCTTAGGCAGAAGGGTTGAATGAGCTCTGTGTGTTCAGCCCAGCAAGGAGAGGGCTGAGTCTAGCATCAGAAGATGTGCAAAAGCCCTAGAAAGTGACCCTGGAGTCAGTTTTCTCAGTGTGACTGCATAGGAAAGAGCCGTTTAACTTGCAGCAAACGTTGTTTAGGATGATGCTAAGGGCACTGTTGCAGTTGTAAGGGATGTGCCTTAGGATACAGGGGTGGTCTCGAGGTCTGCAGGCTCCTAATGCTGGCTCAGGGGGTTATTTCCCAAGGCGCTGATTGCCCCTGGGTGCAGCCTGCATACCCAGCCCTCAGTCTGTGACTTGAGGAGTGGGCTTCATCTTGACCCCACCTCAGGCCACTGCTGTGGTGGGAGCAGCACCCTCCTGTCCCTGCTTTGCCAGCCTGGAGCCCCCAGGGAGCATGCAGGACCCAGGCCTCTGAGATGAAAGATCTCGTAAATCACAGCTCATCTCCTGAGCCCTGCACGCTGCCGACTGAGTCCTTCAGCCTTTTTGTGGGCTTTGGACATCCTTGGTGTGACCCTGGCCTGGAGAGCTGCACGGGCTTCCAGCGTTGGGAGTTCAAGGGGGTTTTGGTCCCAGATGGTCCTATGGTGCTCCCATAGCTGAGACTCCTGCTGCACCTCTTGGATGGTCTCTGCTTGGTACCGGGCAGAGCTGTAAGTGATGTGGGGTCGGTAACAGAGTAAAGAGCAGGGATTGATGGAACTGGAGCTGTGTATGGGCTGGCAGATCACTTATCCCACCACTTGTAACTGCAGCAGCCAGGTTCTATGTGGCTTGAGGTCCATGTTGGTCTTCCCAGGACCCCTGGCTGGAGATGTGTGCAGGAAATGAACCCATCCAGGGGCTGCAGCACAGGCAGCGAGTGGGAAAAGCCTTGTGTGCATTGGCTCAGGGCAATTCCCAGGGGATGCTGTGAGAACTGGGCTGTTCCACGGCCAACCACTCTGTGGGGCTGCAAAGCTGTTTGTGTGGAAAAGGCTCCTAAACCCAAGCACCAAAACTTCAGAGCAATCAAACGTCTTTATTCTGTGCCCATGAATAGCCATGCAAGAAACGTGTGTCTGTGCACACCAAGAGCCTTAACAGGCAAAAATCTACTTTGATCCAGCACTTTTAGCCCTTTCTACCATGTGCTGGTTGGTTAAGGTGCCTCAGGGTAGCACTTGTTGGGCCTCCAGCCACGTGCCATAAGTAAGGGCTTTAGGAAAGGATGCTTTGGTCCTGGGCAGCGGGAACCCCTCCTGTCTGTGTCTTCCAGCAACCACTGGTGAGGCTGAAAGGAGGAGCCAACACTGGCGAGGGCCGAGTGGAAGTGCTGAAGAACGGGGAGTGGGGAACAGTTTGTGATGACAACTGGAACCTGGTGTCGGCCAGCGTGGTGTGCCGGGAGCTGGGCTTCGGCAGCGCCAAGGAGGCCATAACAGGAGCCAGGCTCGGGCAAGGTAAGAGCAATGGGAGCTCAAGGACCAGTTGTGCCTTGTCCATCTCTAAGAGCCCTTTCATCATGCAGGGCAGAGCCTGGTTTTAATGGGATCTTTGTCCTGGGGGACCAGGGGTTTGTTCTCTGCCCTCTGGAGTCAGGAGCTTGAGGCTGGACTGGAATGTGTGAGTTGGGAATTGATCCTTGAAGGCTCCTGGTGATGGGTTCCACCTTTCCCTCCAGCAGCTCTTCCAGTAATTGCCTCTTCGTTGTCACATCGGCTGCTCTCAATGCTCTTGGGAAGCTCTCCAGATCCACATCCTGGTGTAAGGCATTACTGGAGGCTCCTGGATCTGGACCTCAACCACGCTCCAGTTGAAGTCCGGAACATGAATTTAGCCCATTATAAATAGAAGGGCATTTGAGCAGTTCAGAGCCAGGTTCGGCTTTGGATTTGCTGTAGGTGGGAGTTGGTTTAAATCCCAAGCTGTGGTAAAGGGTAACTCCGAGCATAACAGCACCTGTAAAGCACAGTGGTGGTGGCCAGGAGCTGGAGAGCTTCAAAACGTGACCTGCCCATTGGGTCTTGCAGAGGGATGCAGGGAGCTGCTGATGTGTTTGGCTGCATCCAGGAAAGAGCAGGGTCATCATGGGGGGGAAGCAGCTGCCATGCAGGGAGCAGGACGTGCTGTTCCCTCTCCCACAGCCTGGAATCTCAGCAGCGGCTGCTGATCCCCACTGACTTTCCTTCCTTTTACCACGGAACACTGGGCATCAATCACTGCACCCGCTCAGAACCGGCCCTCGGGAGGATGCGCCCACAGGAGCTCCCTTTAGCAGCCACATTGTGGTAGGAAAAGGAGCTCTTTTGGCCCAAAGTCACCTCCCCACTCCCGTGCCTCTGTGCCTGTGCATGGGTTCAATCTCTGCCTTGGTATGGCTGCACCTTGATGCATTTGTGTGGCCAAAGACTAATGGGAAGGATCAGGCTCATCACTGCTGGGATGGAGATTCAGTGTCCCAGGGCTCCACGTTCCATCAGTGGGCAGTGTGTGGAGGTCCCAGGTAAGACGAGGTGACGTGTGGGAGCTGAGTGCTCAGGCAGCATCACACACGATCCGTGCAATGAAGGAGCAGGACTCCAGGGAATGTCGATCCGGCCGCTTTTTGCTTCTCCCTCATTAAAATCCTGTTTGTGGTCTGCATCTGGAAACGCTGACGCTGACCCAGTCATTTTGCAAGCCACCGAACAGTTGGAGTAGGAGGAATGCCTTGATGCTGACCAGAGCTGGAGGGTGATGCCCCAGGAATGCAGCATGGATCCAGCCTCACATTCCCCACTGAAATAGCCCAGTCATCCCAATGGAATGCCAAAGCAAGAGGGCAGGGCCATGGTGCTGAGCCACCAACCTGGGCACATCTCATCTTTGGGGGAAGCTTTTTTAGGCCGTGGGGGCAGGAGGTGCTGCTTGTGATCCAAGTTGTATTCCCTCCCATGTCCTTCCCTTTAGCAGAAGGGGATCAGGAGTGGATTATGTGTATTCCAGGAAAGACTCTGGTTGTTCTTTGTGATGAAGATCATCTGCTGGAGCCTCTGATTCATCCCCCAAGAACCCTTTTCTAACCAGCTTTGGAAACGGGACCCGAGAGCTTTGCAGGCAGGATGCGTCCCGTGTGCCCCTCTCCTCGTGCTGGTTCTCTCTGGGAGAAGCAGCAGTTTTCTGCTGCCACTTGGCCAAAGAGGCTCCAGGTTATTCCCTTTGGCTCCCAGCACCTCGAGGCCATTCTCTGTGACACAAAATGATGCTCGCTCTTGTTTGCATCAGCGGTGTCGGTACCACAAACCTGCCCCGAGCTGTTCCTCTGCCTCCCCATGCATCCCTGCACCGTTGTATTTATTGTCCCATCTAAATGTCAGGCCTTGATTGGGAGCAGGTTCCCACTCATGAACACAGCCAGAAGGATTCCTGCAGCTGAGGTTTGTGAGGTCTGGAACAATGGGAAGTTTTGGCTTTTCCTGCAGCTTTTTGGTGCTCGAGCCCCATGGGTGCTGGAAAGAATTCAGTGGTAAAATGAGGACTTTTATCCTGCAGCTTTTTGCTGGATTTTTACAAGAAATGCCTGGAATGTGGTCAGGATTACTGCGCTCTGATGCCTGCACTGTGCTGTTGGCCGGTACTGGGTATTCCTTCACCACGCAGCAGCACGGGCAGAAGGTAAAACCTCTCTTTCCCTTTCCTCCCAAGGCATGGGTCCGATCCACCTAAATGAAATCGATTGCACTGGCTTTGAGAAGTCAGTCACAGACTGCAAGTTCAACATGGAGTCCCAGGGCTGTAACCACGAAGAAGATGCTGCTGTGAGATGCAACGTCCCAGCGATGGGCTTCCAGAATCAGGTGAGAAACCAAGCGGTCCGGATGCAGTGAGCATGGTGAGATGGGTTCAACCCGGAGCGCCATGTGCCCTCCCTCGCTATGCAGGAATCATTCCACCTAAGCTGTGATTTAACATTGCATTGTACTGGCCAGGAGGGCGAACGAGGGCGATGCTCCCTTTTTGCACTGAGCTCTGAGCTCCTCCAAGCCCGACAGAGGCTGCCTGGGTGAAGCGCCGCTCTGGCTGCAATCACTGCAAGCCGATAACGCCGGCTCCCATCCCCGCTGTGATGGGATCTGGAAGCGGGGTTCTGGGCTCTGTGGCCCCAACTGCTGCCCCTGCCCATGGGCTCTGCTGGCCCTCACGTGTGCTCCCTTGTGCCCTGCAGCTGCGGCTGAGCGGCGGCCGCAACCCCTACGAGGGCCGGGTGGAGGTGCTGGCCGAGCGCAACGGGACCCTGCGCTGGGGCACGGTGTGCAGCGAGAACTGGAGCACGGTGGAGGCCATGGTGGTGTGCAGGCAGCTGGGGCTGGGCTTTGCCAGCCATGCCTTCCAGGTGAGCCCCCTGCCCTCTCCTACCTGTGCTGAGGGATGCTGGTATCGGTGTGCTCGGCTGGGGATGCTGCAGGAGGAGGAAGGAAGCAAAACCCAACAAATCACAGCCTTCCACTGCAGGGCATCATCTGGAGAGGTCCTGGAGGTTAAACCTTATCCACAGCGGCCCCTGGGGGGAATACGGGGCCGAAGCTGTTGCAAAGCTGCTGTTCTCACAGCTCAGGTTTCCCGGGAAGCCTGAGTCCCTTACCCCTGGTCGGGCCGTGGATCCATGTGGTTTCTTGGCCCTGCCTGAACCAGCAGAGAGTTGAACTCCTGGCGCGTGGGAGCGGAGTTTAACCTGGTGTCAGATCACTTGGAACCAGTTTGCTTCTGCTCCTGTAAGCTGGGTCCAGGAGGACACGGGGGGCTCACGGGCAGGCAGATTCCAACTGGTTTAAGCGTTACCCATTGCCAGAGGGGATGTGCGGGTCCAGGCAGGGGCTGGCTCCGGAGGCTGCAGTCGCCGTTGCAGTGATCTCCACGCACAGCCTGGTTCCTCCAGCTGATCTCCTGTGTAGGTGCCAAGCAGAGCACAAGGGCTGAGGAGAGCCACGTCCCTGCAGCACGGCCTTTCCAGCAGCCTGTCTCTATTGACGCAGCCCCGAGAGGCCGGCGAGGAACAAGACATTTTTTCCTCTGGCTGAGGCTGCTGGTATTTAGGGCAGAAAGAGCCCTTCTGTGTGTCCCGGCTGCAGCAGCCCCGTGAGCATAAAGCTGCACTGTGTGGAACAGGGCAGCCCTGTGTGCGGGCGTGCTGCGATGGGAGCGCTCCTACGGAGGGGTTTTCTCTTCCTGGAAGTGCTCTGACACCAGCAGGGCTGAGGGATGGTTCCTGCTTTCCTTCCTCCCCTCGTCCCAAGCTTTGCGATTGCAGCTTCCTCAGGGTTTGGATGTTGGGAGTTAATGTCCTGTTATTTCCATCGTTACGGAGAGCTGCGTGATGGAGATGAGGGTTTGAGCATCACTGAATGCCCCCTTGAGACCAGGAGGTTCATGAGACCCTCTTAGTCCTGGTTCTCCTCAAATGCCTTGTTTCCAGGGGCATTCCAGCACGGCTGTGGATGCTGCCTCCCCTCCTGTGCAAGCAGGCACTGGCATTACTCGTGGCCCTCCCAAGTGCACAGATGTCACAAGACAGATGTGCTCTGATTGCTGGGCATCTCTCCCAGAGCACGGCCTAAATGGCTTAGAACAGCGCAAGGATGAATGCATCAGGGTGGAAAAGTGAGTTTACAGCTGGATTAAAACCAAGGAGAGACTTAAACCAGCTGGGTTTGCTAAACACTGGTCAGGGCAGGGCACATGGGACTGGGATTAAACCCCAGTCTTCTGCTTAAGCAGACGTGGGCTCGATCCTCCCTGCCTCAGCATCTTTGGCATCGCCTGTCTCCCTGTGTGCTCTCGCACTGCTCTTCCCTGGAGGGAGACTGCAAGGCAGAGGGGGGGACCCAGCAGTCCCTTGACACCAAGGAGGGGGTGAAATTCCTTGTTCCTCCCAGGAAACCTGGTACTGGCACGGGGACATCGGCGCCGACAGCGTCGTCATGAGCGGCGTCAAGTGCTCGGGGACAGAGATGTCCCTGGCCCACTGCCGGCACGACGGAGCCCACGTCTCCTGCCCCAGAGGAGGCGGCCGCTTCGGGGCTGGCGTCTCCTGCTCAGAGAGTGAGTAACGGGGCTTCCATCTCCTGCTAGCACCCCGGGGCGGGGAAGGGGGGTCCGTAACGCAGCGGGTAACCCCAGCCCTCCCTTGCAGCCGCCCCTGACCTGGTGCTGAACGCGGAGCTGGTGGAGCAGACGGCGTACCTGGAGGACCGGCCCATGTTCATGCTGCAGTGTGCCCTGGAGGAGAGCTGCCTGGCCAGCTCGGCCGCCAACACCTCCCTCACGTCGGGCTACCGCCGCCTGCTGCGCTTCTCCTCCCAGATCCACAACAACGGCCAGTCCGACTTCCGACCCAAGAACGGCCGCCACGCCTGGGTCTGGCACGACTGCCACCGGTGGGTGCCCAAAGGGGGCTCCGGTGTGGGAGCAGGGGGCCCCAGTGATGGGTGTTCGGGCAGATGTCACCCTCCCACAGCCCGTTACAGTCGGAGTTAGGGGTAAGAACTGGTGAATGGTCATAGAACCCAGCCTGGGTTGGGTTGGAAGGGACCTTAAAGCTCCTCCAGCTCCATCCCCTGCCACAGGCAGGGACCCCTTCCACTGGAGCAGGGTGCTCCAAGCCCCTGTGTCCAACCTGGCCTTGAGCACTGCCAGGGATGGGGCAGCCACAGCTTCTCTGGGCACCCTGTGCCAGCGCCTCAGCACCCTCACAGGGAAGAGCTTCTGCCTTAGATCCAACCTTAAATGCCCCCCGTTTCAGTTTGAACCCCAAATGCATGGGTTAAGGTAAGATGGATGTGCAAGGGCAGTGCGTGTGCATGCGCAGAGGAAGCACGTGGAAAGATGCAGCCACCTGAGCTACCCCCCTCACCTGGGAAAGGACTCGAGGACGTGCTCAAATCCTGCATCTTTTAAACCCGTCTCGTCCGCTCTTACACTGTGTGCAGCTGGGACGTTGTCTGGGGCCTATTTGTGACAAACAGGGAATTCACAGCCATAAAAGCATCGGTTTTGAGGGAGAAATGGACAGTTTGAGCCAAAGTAAACCATGGGGAGGAAAGGGAGCTGGAACGCAGCCATCCAGATGCTTTGCTTCTGAACTGGTGGCTTGTTACAAGGTTGATTCCCTCTCGTGTCGGGTAAAAGGGAGCTGGGTAACTCCTGCCCCTGGTGTCAGGCTTGGGTGAAATCAGCCGTGGCTCTTCATGGCCCTGGTGAGGTGCAGGTACCGCTGCTGCTCGGGGGCTGCTTCCCTGGCCCCGCTGGGATGGGCTGAGGGAACGCTTGGGTACCACAAGGCTTCCCGGAGCACGTTGCAGGCTTGGGCACGTGGAGCTCCTCGGGAGAGACCTGGATGAGGAAGAGGCCGGGAGCCATCTGCGTGCTTTAAACTGGATCCTGTTTGCACGGGGGAGGATGAACTCAATTCCTCTTCAGCCTTTCCAGCCCGTAAACAGCAGCGTGTAAACAGCCCTGCGAGTGATTCAGACATAGCTCAGCACTGAGTCAGAGCCTCGGAGAACCTCAGCCTCGGAGCTCCGCTGCCTCCTCCCAGCGCTGGGAGCTGCTGGGGTTGGCTTTAGGGGTGGAAGGAGAACAGAGACGGGACGGACCTGCAGCAGGGGGGAACAGTTCCATCCATCCATCCATGGGTACAGATGTGGCTCAGGGAAAGGCAGGCGGCGGCGAGAAGAAACCCACTCTCTAGAGAAGCTTCCTCCCTTTGCCTCCTCTCTCCTCCTTCCTCTGTAAATCCCCTGCAGTGATGGGAGTTGGGGTCTTTAAGCCATGATTATTTCTAGAGCTGCACTTGAGTGCTTCTCATTTAAACTCCTGAGCACTGCGTTTGACTCTGGTGTGTCCCAGGGCAGCGTCCCATCGCTGGGAGAGCCATGCAGTGATTTAAGGACCCACACTGCTCTCAGCACCCCCAGCTGGTCCCCATAGGGTGCTCCTGCTGCAGGTTTGCTCCCAGTTCCAAGCCTGGGACTGAACCCAGCGTGTTCCATCAGCCTGACCACTCTTGTGCACCCAGCCCTGGCCTTTGCCGCAGCAAAGCTCAATCTTCCCACCTTCAGCATCGCCCAGACGCTGCTGTGGTGCGGGTTTGATAGTGCAGGGGCTGCAGCACAGGCTGGGTGATGAGGCCGATGTTGGCTGACACCAACTTCCTTGTTTGAAAGGATGCTGCCCATCCTGCGTGAGCCCAGCTGCCAGGCTGCTCAGCTCCAAATGAAGCGAGGGCTCGGAGGAGCTGCTTCCATCTGCTGTGGGTTTCCTGCCAATAGATCTCCATTCTGCTGCTGAAAACCGGATCAGTCCCCGTAGCCGTGGTGCTGCTGTGGTGCCTCCAGCTCCCTTCGCAGTGCAATGTTCCTTGCTCGGGGCTGCTGATGCCTTGGATTCTGTGTTTTCTCCCTTCCTTGCCATTCTAGAACACTGTCACTCTCCTAAGGCAAGGAGCAAGGCTTGCTCTGGAGCAGCTCTAGCACTGGATGTGTAAATGGGTACCTGGGCTGGGAGGCAGCGTGCAGGCAGGATAGGTGATGGTGCCACAGGGAATAGCCCTCTCTACCTCCTGCAGCACTGCTTGGTCCGCAGCATCCCATGGTTGTTGTGTATTCAGCTGCATGGGAATGGGGCTGGGAGGTGGAATGCTGGGCCTGAGGGATGCAACATGCTCACATCCCAGTCCTGCTGCTGGAGCCAGCTCTCCTGGGCCAGGCTGTGCTGCCCTGTAGTGCTGGGGATTACAGGGGTGCCTCTTTTCCCTAAGGATAACTCTCCCTGTCTGCGCCTTGCAGGCATTACCACAGCATGGAGGTGTTCACCCACTACGACCTGCTGAGCCTCAACGGAACCAAGGTGGCCGAAGGGCACAAAGCCAGCTTCTGTCTGGAGGACACCGAATGTGAAGCAGGTAAATGCCAGAGCCACCTGTGCTGGGAGTTTATGGCTGTCCCCATCCAAGTGAATGGCTTCAGGGATGCTCTGACAGGCCTAAGCAGGGCTCGAATGTGGCCTGACGGGAGCCAGAAACCAGTCCTGAGGTTATATAGGTGTGGAGTGCTCTCTACAGGTGTAAGAATCCCTGAGGGCCCCATATGCTCCTTACATCCCTATTGTGAGCTGCTCTAAAGAGCCAAGGGTGTGTGTTCAGCTTCCAAAACCTGCCCCTGGGTGATGAGGGATGAAGCCTGCCGCTCCTCCCCTGCAGCTGCACGGTCCAGCTATGGCAGCACAAGACACCAGTGGCTCATCACTGAACGTGGGGCTGGAAACCAACCGCATCTTCCCCTGCTGTGCCTGCGGGGGGGAGATTCCCAGCCTGAGCTGCCGGGACGTGCCTTTGTGCCTCTAACCCTCTGCGCCTTTGCCCCCTCAGATGTGCAGAAGCAGTACGAGTGTGCCAACTTTGGGGAGCAAGGCATCACCGTGGGGTGCTGGGACGTGTATCGGCACGACATCGACTGCCAGTGGATCGATGTTACCGACGTCCCACCAGGGGATTACCTCTTCCAGGTAGGAGCTGCTGCTGTTGCTTTTATCTCGCCTATTAGAGAGGGATACAACTGATTTAATGGGGCTATAAACCTGCCAGGTTGGTCGGGGCTTGGAGCAAGCTGCTCTAGTGGAGTGGGTTGGAACTGGATGAGCTTTAAGGTCCTTTCCAACCCAAACCATTCCATGATTCTATGAAACTTCTGATGACAAAGAGATGATGTTCCCATACCTAAAAGAGAAAGAATTACCCACCGGGACAACACTGATCCCATCCCCAAGTGAGAAATCACTTCTAACAACCACAATAAGACATCCACATCCAGCTAATGCTTGATAGTCCTACCCGATCCATGTGCAGCTGCTGTTGTTAGCACACTGCATTACACGTCCCATTCTACACAGCCACTGCAGGGTTGTGCTAAGCTTTTGAGCTGTTGGTGAGCAAAACTCACTTCATGTGGGGATTAAATGGTGCTGTTGTGGTGCTCGCAGGAGTCAGGGCTGTGCCTCCAGTCTGCTCTGTGCAAGAGGGGGGAATTGTATGGTTCTGAAAAGAGCTATTTGGGAAGAGGAGTTAGTTCTGTCTGCACTGCCCTGGTGTGAAATGAGGATGATGAGGATGTATCTTGGTGCATGGTGGAAGGTGTTAGCTTGATCTCCCTTTAACCGAGTCTTTTGCGTCCCCTTGCAAAATGAGTTAGGGTTTTTCTGTTAACAAGTGTTATGGTGGAATGGGAAGCGGCACCATGAGCCCATCTGCAAGGACTTTGTGTTCCTCCCCCCCTGCTCAGGTTGTCATCAACCCAAACTATGAGGTTGCTGAATCTGATTACTCGAACAACGTGATGAAATGCAGGAGCCGCTACGATGGGCAGCGCATCTGGATGTACAACTGCCACATAGGTGAGAGTCCTTGGGCAGGGAAGGCAGGAATCCCACTGCAGCACTGGCTCCTCACCAGGAATCCTCTGTGCTTCCATTGCAAGGTGTTTATGTGCTGGTTTATCACTTGTAGGTGCTTGGAAAGAGGAGACAGAGCCCAAGCAGAGGTGCTGTGTGCTGTAGGCTGTGCAAAGCAGACACCACCGTGTCCCTGTTACAGGTTGCAAGGAGTAAGGTGGCAGGAGGGTTCAGCAGTGCTGCATCACACAGGTTACTGGAGCAGCAAGTGCAGCACTGGTCAAGCTCTGAAAGAAAGGCCTCGGGCTTGGTAGAAGGGGGAGAGCAGATGGCCCAGCTGTGTCCCTTCCACTGGGAAACGAGTGCTTTTCCCTCCCAACACCCTCAGATGTAAGGAAAGTTCTTGTGCACCCACAGAGCTTGTGCCTGAGTAGGTCCAGGCAAACAGCTCCACCTCCTTCCTAGGCTCGGGCTATTCTCAACTTGGGACTCACCTCTTAGACCCCAAAGCTTCTCTTCTCTTGCAACGCAACCAAGAGCAGGGGGTAAGAGCTTCCGCTCGAGCCAGAAAATGCCCTCCTGGCCTTGGAATGGGAGGGAAAACTGTGGAAACATCAAGGCCAAACCAGTTGGAATCTGCACTAATGTCAAGGCCAGTTAAAAACGGGATGAAGTTAAGCTGGGGCTCTGCGAGATAACACAGAGATTTGCAGCAAGTGCCTGCCACCCTCCCAGCAGAGCCAGCGGGGAAGGCAAGCTCCAGAGCTGGCTCTGGCCCTGCAAGGAATGTTTTTCCTGACAAAATTCCATGTCACCACTGATTTTTCCTATTAATCTGCTGGGTTTTTTTACAAAAAGACTTCTCGTGTGTCGTGCTTCAGCTGTGACCTAGTTCTGCAGAGCCAAACCCACTTCACGTGGATGAACAGGCACTTCAGTGCTGGGGAGGCTCCAGCTCAGCTTCCAGGGATTTCTATTCACAAATCAATGGATGTGGCTAGTTGAGAGGCAATGGAAGCTAAAACTAAGGCATGGTCCTATGGGACATGAGGCACCAGCACCCACTTACCATCAGCCTCAAGCAGACCATTCCCAGGTCCTGCTCAGCATCGCCTAGTCCTTTTAAGCAACAAAAGTTAGCAGTGAATTGAGGGTAGTTTATGGTCTTCCTATTACAATAAAAGCCGAGATCAAGGACTCTTGGCTGGATTTAAATAGTAAATGGTAAAACTTAAGTAATGCTTAAATTAATTAGCCCAGGAAAATCTTTGCTCTTCTAGTCCTTGCTTTGAGCCCTTCGCTCCATGATGGTTGCACAGAGCCCCCGTGTTCTCTGCTTTATGCTGCGAGCTGCTTCGGGTGCCTCCCGCTCATCCCTGTCCCCTTCGTGTGCGCTCCCCAGGTGGCTCCTTCAGCGAGGAGACAGAGCAGAAGTTCGATCACTTCAGTGGACTCACAAACAACAAGGTGTCCACCCGATAGACGGGCAGCGCCTCCCACCCCACTATTTAAAGAAGCGAGGTTTCCTGAACCACTGCACACACACAAATCAAGCAAACAATCAAACTCTGCATTAGCCAGGTAAATTATTTCCTACAGGTGCCTTCCTCCCCGGTTTAGGTGCTCAGACCACCGTGTGTCTCCTGTAACTACCCCAGGTAGTTAGGAGCAGGCTTTTAGACTCTACTCGGCTCTGTATCTTCACCATTCCAACCTTCACCACAAAGACTTCTCCCTCCACTTCGCAGCACCATCTTTATTCACAGACATAGGTCCAGGCTGCAGCAAGCACAAACTGTCTTTAGGTGCCAACAACCTAAATATGTCTTTACCATTCATTTTCCTCAAGGCATTAATCTTGGTATCTTTAAGCTCTTTGACTCAAGCTTGAACACACTGCTGGCGCAAAGGCCTCCACTGGTGACACTGCTTCTTGACCGCAGCTAATCCTCAGTGCTCCCATGGCAGGACTTCTTCATTTTAGCACAGAAATACAGGAAAGGAAAGGAATGGAGCAGCTTTTCTGAGCAGAACAGTGTAAGCATCATTTAATACTGCCGTGAAACTCTTGCATTCAACAATCAACTCCCCACACAGTCTCGTTAAGTGGAGCAGCTAATGCAGAATGGTCCTTCTGCAAGTGGATCAGGGCTCCATGAAGCTACACCTCCCCTGGAGCATCTCCAAGACTCTGCAGACCCAACGATGAGTCCGCTGGCCACAATTTCCATTACACAGTAAGCTTTTCATCCCATAGATTCTACATACATCTAAGTATTACCTTCTAAGCTGGATATTCACTCTGTTCTTTAAAGGATGCATTTAGTTAAGGCATTGTATCATCACTGTACCTTACAGAGGTAACTTCATGGCTTTTCTCATCAGGGATCTGGACCTGTGCTGTCACAGACCCACCTGTGTAAGTTGACTTTAAAGGATTTGAACACTTGGTAAATTCACAATGGTGCTAAGTGTGTTCCTCTGTTTGTTTGAGGCCACACATCGCTACAGATCTGCAGACACAGCTACTTGAATAAAAGCCTTTTACCCAGAACACGTTTTACATGCCATTTGTCTGTTTCTACTCCATGAAAGTTTAGGGACTTGGTCACAATTCCTGGTCCTGAAGTTTTTTCTCTCTATATACAAGAAAATATAACTGAATACTTAAAGCTGCCCTTTTCAATCCACAGGGGAACTGAAACTGGCTGCATCCAACTTGTGCTCCCCAAAACCTACCTCACAGGGATGTTGTGAGGCTTAAAGAATGCAGAAGGACTTTTGCTAATGCCTGTCAAGAGTATTTCTGTCATTTATTTACCCAGTGGCCCAGATGGTGGCATCCAGCCTACTGTAAGTTGGAAAACTCCATTTTGTTCTCAAGGTGCTGGACTGTGTAGCAAAAGCAGAGCCTGAGCTGTGTTGGATGCCCTACTGCTGCTGCCACAAGGTGTCTCACAGCATCTCCTACCACCAGGCTCTGGGAATATCAAAACTGTCAAGTTCTGGTTTCCTAATCAGTGTACACCTTGCCTTGCTACCAGTGCAAGGCAGCAAGCACAGGCTCTTCACACACCATGTAAATAAGGAAATCCCTGAACCTCACTTGCATTCAATGCTTGTCATTTTGATGAGATATTAACAATAACATTACAACAAATGTAAACATTAAATAGCTTTTTCTGACCCCTGCAGATGCTCTGCTCTTGCTTACAGCTCAGTTTTGGCCAATGATACAATTCCCTTCACCTAATGGCTGCTTTTTAAACACAGAGCAGGCTTTACTGTAAGCAGACTCCCTTTCTGCAAGTGCCCCAGTGTTAACAATCCTTTGAATCAGAGTCCAGCAGCATGCTCTCCATAACAAAGAGCTAACAGAACCCTCACAGGGTTTGGCTTCAAGTGCAAGATCTCATTAATAGTAAACCTTTCCCCTTCCCAGCTTCAGAAACGACGGTGCTAGTCCAGAAGAGAACACCCCCATGGCAACTCACTGTTCTGCATGCAGTTTAATATCACAGCCATGCTCGTCTATACAGCTTTTTGTTTTAGCTGAGATGGTTTATTCCTCCTGGTCCAAGCTCTCTGGCAGGAGCACGTCGGTGCCTGAGCCCTCCTGCTGCTTGTGCTTCAGGCCCAAGGCACGGGTCACGAGCCGCTTGGCCACTGCTGTGTCCGTCTGGGGTCTCTCTTTTGCCAAGTGAAGGAGTTCTAGGTACAAATGGGTGAGAAACCATCAGGTTAGTGCTCGTTCAGGAAGTTAGTGCTTGTTCAGGAGCAGGCTGGTGGCTAACCCAGGGCCCGGCAGACAGAAGGACTGATGTCCATTTCCTTTGCTCCATTATACATTTAGCCCAGGAGCACGAGCAATCATTCTATGCATAGCCAGTAAATTTCCTTTTAGCAAATCCCCCTCCTGCTTTATACTCAAAGATTTTCCAATGGCAGTTCAAAAGCTGCGTGGCTCTAATTAAGCTCAAGCTCTTCGGCAGTGGGAGAGAGAATCATTCCCCATTAGCTTTCAGGAACAGCTTCCTGGCCACCTTCAGCGTCTCTGCTAACAAAATGAAGCTACACAGTCCAACCAAATAGCACCAAGTTTCTCCACACTTGGGGATGTTTGAGCTCAATTTAGACCAAGCAAACCAGCAGAAAGCAAGGGAAGAAAAAATCTGCATTTCTTAAAGACTACGTGGCTACAGCAGATGCTTTGGGAAAGCCCTTTGGCCACTAACTTCCAGTTTCTGGCACACGCCTTGCTTGCTCCAGTCTCACAAGAAATGAATACACCAAACCTTTGCCAAGGGCGCAGCGGGTTGGATTTGGTGATTTCCTACTCATTTACCAGCAACTGGGTGCAAATCTATTATCCAGTCAGGAATGAGGCTTGGCTTGGCTTTCTCAATAAAAGCAACAGGGGCAACTCAAAGCTTGGGAAATAAACCTGCCACTCTTTCTTGACAGGAACAAAGGAAAACACTAAAAGATAAGAGACACTGTCAGCTAAAGAGCCAAATCTGTGTTTGGAAAATAACTGCTATTGAAATTGAATACAAGAGTTTATAGATGATGTTCCCCAGCAGTTTATAACCCGATTCAGAAGTGCTCCAGCACTGAGAATCAGGAAGCAGGAGTGAAAAGAGATGCTGGGGAGTGTGTAAACCCAAATCGCATCCTTTGATGTGCCACTGAAATCTAGCAGTCTTTAAAACTCAGGAATTTCCAACTGTGACAGTGTCCCTTGAACCCATTCATACAAACTTGTTTAACTGCAGTGTACTGGAGAAGTAACAGCATCATTGTACCTTCAGCAAAGTCTCTGCTGCTACCAGGTTCATGGCATTTCTTTACTGTGGCAAGTATAACTGATTACAATATGATTTTAAAAGGCAATAAAAGAAATAAACCAATGTTAATGGCTAAGCTTAACAGTTCTTTTACCTTCACCTGATACCAAATAAAATGACACCAACCACAAAAGGGCACTGTTATTGCTTCGGTCTTCCTGTGCTCACAGCTACAGCTCCACCTCCCTGCTGCACACAACCCTTCACTTCAAGCTTCCCATAAGAGAAGCAAGTAACACAAGAAAAACTAAGCCTGAGTTCTAGCAGCCCACTGAGCTGATGAGAGAACAAAAAGCAACAGGATTTGGTGCATTTTGCTTCAGTCCTTGTGCAGCAGGAAAAGAAAAGGGACTGAAAACACACCCATACATAATAGCTGTAGTTCTGCTTCCTGTAAGCAGAATATAATGTCATCTCACACTGCCAATTCATTCTTGTCATCACATCCACCCTTGCTGCTGCACATGGGCACAACCAGCATTGCTGAGGTAGGAAGTTTTACCAGGAATAGGATACAAGTTGGCTGCAAACACTGTTAAAAATATAAATTCACCCTCAGGCTTCTACTGAAGACTCCACACAACAGCCCCATGTCCTGCAGTGCCAATGAGGCTCTAAAACACCAACTAACCCCAAGAAATATAGCTCCTTAATATATATTTCCCCGTTTAACATGTCATGGTGACCACTCAGGATGTAAAAGGCTGGTAAACCAAGGATACTAATAATTAAAAGACTGACTTACTTGGTCGCTGAAGGGCCTTGATTTTGGACTGCTTCGTGGCATGGATCAATGGTCGGATCTTTAAAGCAGGATAACGTCGCCCCAGGGCTTGAGATGCTGCAAAGAACAAAGTGTTGAAATCAGCAGACTGTACATGGTAAAAATCAGTACGTGGTATAATAGTGAGTAATTTGAGCTCCAGCAGCTGCTGTGTTATCTCAAGCCTTGTGCTAAAAGAGCTAAGCTCATTCTAGTCACCTCAGGCTTATAGGAACACAGGCAGAATCCCATGAAAATACAGACATGTTTTAAAAGACAACTCTGACATTATTAGACTAAATAAGAAGGAAGTTACAAGGAAGTTTTTCCCTGGATGAGCTTTAAGGTCACTTCCAACACAAACCACTCTGTGATTCTAAATCCCAAGGAAAGAGCATAAGCTTTGGGCCTGCTGGATGCAAACATCTCTTGGGATGGCTCAGAGCTGAGCTTGGCTGTTTGTCCCAAGAAGGCAGGTTTGGCAGGAAGCTTGGTGGCTGCCCTGCGTGCCACCATGCTCAGGAGGTCCCCAGGAGGTCACTGTACCCCAGGCAGGACTTTCTGCCTAGTTAAAGGAGGAATAAACCTGCAGGAGCAATGCAGATTCATTACTAGGAACACAGCACAAGTCACTCCGTATGCAAGAGCTGCCCATCCAAACCAGTTACAAACCTGCTGCTCTGGCAGAGCAGCATTTCCACACCCACCACAGAATTCCAGCTTCTCCAGCTGGAAAAGCCGTTCAAGTTGGAAGCGTGCGGGAAGAACAACACGATGAACCACGACTGCCCTTGGCAACCCAAGTGCAGGACTCGACAGAGGTCAGTGCAGGGGCACTGTGCATGAGCAGAGACCTCAGCAGCTCCACAGGGCCCTTGAACATGAACCAAGTCACTCTACCTGTGGAGAGGCTGGAGAAGATGCCCAGGGCGTGTGTATCATCAACCCATTGGATTTTGAACCCGCTCTCGCTGAAATGAAGAGACAATGGAATGATATTGGTTAATAAGAGAGAAAAAAACAGTCCCCACACACTAAAACCCATCAACCACCTTGAGCTATCACAAGGACTGAAGTGTTTTCACGCAGGTAGATGGTGCTTTTCAAAGCATTACACCTATTTGACAAAGGGAAAGAGAAGGAAAGGAGCAGAACATCAGATGTGCCCCTTTCAAGGCCACAACATGCAATTACCCCCTCAGCTGCCCCCAGGAGCTCTCCTTTTCCCTCAGCCCAAAGCAGTCTCCATTGCAGGCATTGCTCCATCCCAGCAAATGGAAATAGCACATGAAGGGAAATACACAGAGGAGCTTATTTAAAACGTAAATCATGGCTGTTAAGGGATCTGCAGAGGGAAGAGTTCCCATCTGATCCACCAGGGATAGCAAGAAAGGAGGAGGATGGTGGTGGGAGGAAGACACCCTCCTGCAGACACCAAACCAGTTCAGAGCTAGACCTTTATCACTAACCAGGGCTGAACTTCACTCTGCTCCTGATGCAGCATCACTCCCTCAGGCACAAGGCTCTGCTCCCTGGATTTACATACTAAATCTGATCTCCAGCAGCAGAATCGAGCCCTTTTACTTACATAAGCCTTTGCAAGCATGTAATTTCATTGTAATTTCATCCAGGCACCCAAGTGCAGGAACCAAGACGCTCCTAGAAAGCACCTGAAGCCTCACTGACGCCTGCAGGAGTAACATCTGCACACAGCTAGCCATGAGAGCCCTGAAGAACCAGCTATGGTTTAAACCAGGCAGGAAATGTCCTTTAAGGCGCAGAATGAGCCTGACACAAGGGCACGAAGGTGAAACTAAGGTTCCAGCTCCATCAGGCTGTCTCATTCCAGCGTGAAGGCTGCTCCCTCCATGCCCCTGCTGTGCTCAGGCTCTCAGAGATACTCACTGGAAGTCAGAGAACATTTCCACCAGGTCCTCTGTCTTCAGTGATGGGGAGAAGTCATAGATTTCAGTCACATGGCCAAAATCCCCCTCGCTGACCTGGGCATCCCTGTAGCTGGAGCAGTCTAAGCTGATCTTCTCGATGCTTACGCTCTTCACAGTTAAATAACCCACAATCTGAGGGGATTAAAGAAGAAAACCATTAAAAAGATGAGGTTTCACCACAAAGACCAACCCACCAGGTTCCACCTCGGTCCCTGCAAACCACTTCTGTGGCTCCTGCCACCAGGTTCAGCCCCAGCGCAGGGACTATTCCCATGCCCTTAGGGCCCAGCCTCAGCCACATCCTTTCCCCACAGTCGCTCCCCAGGGGTTGCAGAACACTACCTCTGCCAAGAGCTCTGTGGTACAGTCGTCCTCGAGGCTGCTCCTCCTGGGTACGGCCACATTCTCCTCTCTGTCACCTGCAGGCAAGTGCAGCTCATGCCACAGAGCATCGGCCAAGCACGAACCCTCCTTGTCCTCCCCGTCCACCACGGACTCCTTCCCACTGCAGTTCTGAACCGGAGCATCTGTCCCATGCTCAGTCTGGTCCTCAGGAGATGATGGCTCAGCACCACACATGGGCTCAGCTGCAGGGAGAGGCTCATCTGGGGCTTCTGTGGGGTTCTGGCAATGGGTCTGCTCCACCTGGGCAACGCTGGGGCACTCATCTTGGCTTTCCAGGTTGGAGGAACTCTTCCCTCCCTCCACGGTGCCAGCGTTCAAGTCCTTGCCCTGTTCTTCAGGCAGTGACGTGATTCTGCTGCTCTCCAGGCCCTTGGCAGTGGTGCGGCTCTCATCCTGGTTTTCCAGCACCAGTGACCCTGCACTTGACTCTGCTTCAGCTGGGTCTGCACTGCAGCCACTGGCTGTAAGGGAGGAGGTTTTGGCACGCTCCGATACACCGGCATTCCGGCTGCTTTGGTCTTCAGCTTGCACCTGGCACAGGATTTTGGTGCCTTCTGGTGTAACACTGTTATCACAGCTCAGATCTTGCTCTTCTGCTTCAGCGGGGGGTTTACTGTGTACAGAAGAAAGGGAATCTGAACAGTCTTTATCCTGACCTTCCTGCCCACGGAAATCCTTGTTGCTCTGTAACAACGGGACATCCCTACGACACGGGGGACGTTCAGCATTACTATCTCCTGGAACGCACCCTTCACCAGGCTCCTCCTGCTCACCAAAGGCCAAGGAGACATCACCTGAGCTTCCTTCAGGCCTGCCCAGCTCCTCCTGGGCACTCTCTTTAGGGCAGGTCTCTTCCTCCTGTTCCACATCCCTGCCAGCAGCCTCCGGGTTCTCCTGCTCGCCCCATTCCTCCCTCTTGCGCATCGCCTTGGGCACGTAGAGGGCTTTATCCGGCTTCCTCCTGGGCGGCCTCCTGATCCTGCCCGAGCCCACAGAGGCTCGAGGGCTGTCCCCATGCACGTCCCCAGGGTGCCGCAGCCGCCCCCCTCGGCTCCCCCGGCCCCACGGCTGTGGAGCCCGGGCTGGTCTCAGGGGGTTGGTGCTGGGTTTTTGGTCGCTGGTTTCGGTGGGCAGCCTGGGAACAAGGGAACAGCAAGAGGTGAGCAGAGGAACCCAAGTAATGCGGTGTGTGTAAAAGAGAGGAGGGAAAGCATCACGTCCATGGCAAGACGGCAGATAGGGAAAAAGAATCACTGAATCAGCTGGGGTGGAAAAGACTTTCAAGATCACCCAGTCCAGCACTGCCAAGGCCACCACTAACCCACGGCACTAAGATAGTTGCAGAAAACAACAAGGTCTCCCCTGAGCCTTATCTTCTCCAGACTAAACCTGCCCAGGTCCCTCAGCCACTCCTTATCACACTTGTGCTATTCTTGTGCAGAAGAGCCTCTGCTTCCTCAATGACTGGAAGATGCCATCAGACACCTCCTCTTTGAAGAGGGGCATCACACACACACTTTGTGCTTGTAATCTTAAACAAACCCCATGACCATGGAAAGAGATGCACTGAGAGAGCTACTGCACCTTACAGCTGCGTGGCAGATCACCGTCCTCCTCCTCCAGCCTTCTCCCACTGAAAAGCTGCTCAACAGATCCATGCTGTCCACGGTCCGATGGATCAGGTACCTGAGGCGGCTGGACAGGGGAGGGAACAGCAGCACACTGAAAGGAGAGAGGGCATCAGCAACTTGTAGGAAGGCAAAGGACAGGCACACAGCAAGGATTTATCAATCCCTCTTCCCAGGTCATTCCCAGAGTAGGGCTTAAATCCAAGCCCAAAAGCCAAGCAGGACATTCTGATATAAAAGAGCCCAAACCCCCTCTTCATCCCAGGTGTCTACATGAGCTTGCTTTTGATGCAGCAGTGGGAGCACCCTGCCTTTGCCTGGGGATCCCAGTGCTGCCTGTGTCCGTGCTGGGAATGGTGGGAGATCACCAGCACAAGCTCCTGGTCCCATTCCACCCAGTCTGAGTGCGCTCCAGAAACCATCAACTACAAACATGACTGAAAGAATACAGAACCCATTTGATTCCACTGCATTTAGTCACGTTCTTACAACTTCAGTTCCATTCCTCAGCATTCCACAATGGGTGCCCCATCCCTGGCAGTGCTCAAGGCCAGGTTGGACTCAGGGGCTTGGAGCAACCTGCTCTAGTGGAAAGTGTCCCTGCCTATGGCAGGGGGCTGATGCTGCTTTAAGGTGTATAATGAATGGTGTATAATGGTGTAAAATGTGCCCTTAATGGGGAAGGGCACAGGGCACAGCTCCCTGGTGACCCTTGGCCTGCAGGGATGCTCCGAGCCAGTCTGGACCCTGCAGATGGGCTCCAAACCCCACAGGCAGAGAACCGGTGTAAAAAGAGACAAGAGCCCCCATGTGCTGCTGTGTGTGCGGTGCCGTGTGCGCAGCGCCCTGCGTGCAGTGCCCAGCGCCACCACCCAGAGGTGCAGGACAGGGTCACCGCTGCGCTCACAGCCCAGCACCCACCTGTGGAGCTGCCCCTGCAGCACGAAGCGCTCCAGCTCCTCCGTGATCCTGCCCACGAACTCATCCTCGTTGGGCGAGAGGAAAACCCCATCCATGCAGCGCAGCGCCAGCGTGGCGGCGGGTCTGGGGGGGGGGACACGCATGGAGGCACCCACAGCAGCACCCAGGGGTGCCCCGCACCCTGCGGGCCTCCCCTGCAGCCGCACGCATTGACCCTGGTGCAGCCCTGACCCGAACCAGGGCACCCTGCACCTCTCGCCACCCCGCGCCCCTTCCCCACGCACCCCAGCACACCCCTGCTCCCTGCGCACCCCGCTCCGCTCCCCGGACACCCCCGGGCACCCCCTCAGCCGCTCGGTTCCCCGTTACCCCCCTCCCCCCCCCCCACCGCTGCTTCCCCCCACCTCCCCCCTCTTTCCTCACCCCCTCTCCCAGCCCCCCATTGCCCCCCCATTGCCCCCCCATTTCCCGGCCCCCCCCTCCCCACCGCTCACCGCCAGGCCCGGTCCCAACGGCAGCTCCCGGCGCTGCGCATGCGCCAGGCCCGGCCTCGCCCCCTGGCAGACCCCGCCCCTCCGCGGGCTGCGGGCACGGGGGGGTCCTGCAAACGATGAACGCCCCGAAACCACCCTAAAACACCCCAAAATACCCACAAACCACCCTAAAACACCCCAAAATACCCACAAACCACCCTAAAACACCCCAAAATACTCACAAACCACCCTGAAACACCCCAAAATACCCACAAACCACCCTAAAACACCCCAAAATACTCACAAACCACCCTAAAACACCCCAAAATACTCACAAACCACCCTAAAACACCCCAAAATACCCACAAACCACCCTAAAACACCCCAAAATACCCACAAACCACCCTAAAACACCCACAAACCACCCTAAAACACCCCAAAATACCCACAAACCACCCTAAAACACCCCAAAATACCCACAAACCACCCTGAAACACCCCCAAAATACCCACAAACCACCCTAAAACACCCCAAAATACCCACAAACCACCCTAAAACACCCCAAAATACCCACAAACCACCCTAAAACACCCCCAAAATACTCACAAACCACCCTAAAACACCCCAAAATACCCACAAACCACCCTAAAACACCCCAAAATACCCACAAACCACCCTAAAATACGCCAAAATACTCACAAACCACCCTAAAACACCCCAAAATACCCACAAACCACCCTAAAACACCCCAAAATACCCACAAACCACCCTAAAACACCCCCAAAATACCCACAAACCACCCTAAAACACCCAAAAATACCCACAAACCACCCTAAAACACTCCCAAAATACCCACAAACCACCCTAAAACACCCCCAAAATACCCACAAACCACCCTAAAACACTCCCAAAATACCCACAAACCACCCTAAAACCCCCAAACCCACCCAAACCACCCCAAGTCTCTGCCTTCACCCCAAATCAAACCCCAACCTTCACCACTCGCCCCATTCCCGGCAGTGAGCCCATGGAGTGCCGCCAACAGGGTGCTTCAGCCATCGCCCCAGGAGGAATCCCTGGATCATCAGGTCCAGCCATGCCCCAGCACTACAACCCACGGCACCCAGCACCACATCCACACAGCTCAAACACCTCCATGGGTGGTGGTTCCATCACTGGGCAGCCTTTTCCAATGCCTGAGCACCCTCTGGGGCAGGAATTGTTCCTCAGCTCCATCTAAACCTGCTCTGGTGCAGCTTGAGGCCGTTTCCCTTGTCCCATCCCTTGGGAGCAGGACCCAGCCCCTCCTGGCTCCATCCTCCTGTCAGGCAGTTGTAGGCAGCCATCAGGTCCCCCCTGAGCCTTCTCTTCTCCATCTGAACCCCCAGGTCCCTCAGCCCTTCCCCATCACACTTTTGCTCCAGGCCCTGCACCACCTCCATTGCCTTCTCTGGGCAATACTCACCTTTTCCCTCATCACAAAGGTTCTTCCAGCCAAAATTCCCACTTTCGAGCCATTTCCTCTCCTTTCTTGGCCACACGGCAGCACAAAGCACAAAATGAATCCAAATGATGCCAAGAGCTGGAGCTTTTGGGGGGATAAACAGCACTTTGGGCTTGTTCCAGGTGAAGCCAATGAGCCTCACAGGTGCTCAGCGTTTCTAAGTGTAGTTTCACCTTAACGAGTCAATGCACAGGTCCTGGGGGCACCACTGCCCCAGGTGACAGCTGCTGCAAGAGGAAAGGTCCCCAGAAGTTCAATCATGGGACAGAACAGAGACAAGGGCAGCATCACCTTGACCAGCTGCCTTCCCTGGGTGTCGTTGAGCACTCACAGCCTCCTCCTCAGCAGGGTTAATCCCTCCTGCCTCTTCCCCATCAGCAGGATGATGGCTGGGAATTACCATATAGATTGGGAAAGGCAGGGCTGTGATTTTAGAAGAGCTTCTGCCAGGCTCCTCCAGGCATCTGGAGACCCTCATCCAGGCTTGACCCCTGCGCCTGGAGCTCCTTCCTCCAAGGCCAGCCCTGGCCTCTGCCTGATGAGAAGAGCAGTTGATTCCAATTTGGAAGCAAAATGAGGCAAGGCAGCAGCCTACAGCAGCCACCTCCCATTCCCCCCTCCCCATACACACTATTTCCCCCTTTCTCCACTAAACCCATTCCTCCCAAACCTGAAGAATCACTTCACAGACAACAGCCATCCCCTGCCCCACACTTCCCACCAGGATACACTGGAGAGCGGCTTTGGACAAGGGCCTGCAGGGACAGGCCAAGGGGAATGGCTTTAACCTGCCAGAGGGGAGACTGAGATGAGCTCTTAGGCAGAAGCTCTTCCCTGTGAGGGTGCTGAGGCGCTGGCACAGGGTGCCCAGAGAAGCTGTGGCTGCCCCATCCCTGGCAGTGTTCAAGGCCAGGTTGGACACAGGGGCTTGGAGCAAGCTGCTCCAGTGGAAGGGGTCCCTGCCCATAGCAGAACTGGATGAGCTTTAAGGTCCCTTCCAGCCCAAACCAGTCTGAGATTCCATGGACTGCTCAGCACTGATGGCTCTGCTCACCCTGCCAAAAGCCACCCCTCTTCACACCCTGCCTGCTGGGTGCTGCCCTCCCTTCACCCATGACAAAACCAGAGCTCCAGAAAGCGAACTGCCTTACCTGGGCTTACAGGGCAGGAGCAGAGCTGCACCCACATGCACAGGTCCTGACTCAGTCCTGGCTCCAGGAGCAGCCACAGGTAGGAATACTGGCAGGGATGGAGCAGTACTGTATGGCTTTAGGATGGGAGGAGGATGCTTCCTGGTGGAATTGCAGGGGAGGACAGTGCAGGAAACCCACAGCAGGAACTGAAGAAACCCATTCTGAAGCCAAGTAAACAAGGGGTATTTTTGCCAAAGCAAGCCACAGTTGCACCAGTTTGGAGCTGTTGTCCCATTTCCCAACCTGACCATAGGAATGTCTGTGCTGGGCAGAGACCTGGTCCACAAGCTGGAAGTTAATAACTGGACAGAAAAGAAGGATCACATCACCCTCTCCTTTGCCTTTTGCAGGTTCAACCCTGCAACCCATCACAGGTAACAGTGATACACTGAGCTTTACTCCAGTCCCTACAAACAGGCATGGATAAAGATCCAGAACTTCGCCACCAGATGAGTATCAGCAAACACCAAACCCAGGGCAACCAGGACACTGGGAAAAGCTGCATCTTCAGTCTGACCCCCTCTATGCACCAAGCCAGGAGCCCTGTAGTAAAGCCCAAACACAGCACACGTGCTACAACACCCTGCCTTTATTGAGGGACATGGATGTACTGCAGGAACATACAACTGGAATTGCATTGGATCTCCCAGGACCATGCCAGACAATCGTCCCCTCCTCGAGCTCCTTCCCTGAGCTGGGATTTACCACACTCCCAGAGCTTGCCTTGGTTCTGACAGCCAGCCACCCCTGCAGCATGGGGAGATGGTTGTACACGGAGTTCAGTCCTCCTGGTGCTTCCCTAGTGAGATCCAAGCATTGACCTTGGAGACACAGCGAGCTCTGCGCCCCTCCCACCCTGATTGTGCTGCAGCTTGACTATAACTGGGCTCCAGTTAATAATTACCCTCACTCTGTAATTACCCCTTGCTGATTTCTTTGTTAACATTTGCAGGGAGAGGCCTTTCTGCTGTGCAGGGAGCTAAAGATGTCTCGGCTTCAAGACAACCCAGCCGTGCCACTTGCTGCTGCGGTGTTTCACCAGGCATGGAGCAAAACCCCTCTCTCAAGTCAAGCAGCCTGCAGGGAGATGCTGGGGGCTGCTCACTTGCTACTTCACCCCCCGGCTAAGCGGACACAAGCTCCCAACCTACAGGAGAGGCTCATTAAAGAGTACAGGTGAGCACAGAGTGCTGCTTAAGAAGCTATTCTTACTACTGAAATGGGCCAGCAAGGGAGGCAATGGGAAAGGATCTGTAATGAAATGGGGGAGGAAGGGAATTGGAGGGAGTACAAAGAGAAAAGGGAAAGAAACAGTCCAGGAAAAGGACCCGACTGATGAGGGCACAGAAACCAAACCAGCAATGTTCTTGCTTTAACATCTCATTTTCCCCTCTACCCTCAGAGTCTCAAGGGCTCAGACACTCTCATCCCCAAAACAAAAAGTCCAACATCCTGGGGCTAAATCCCAGTTTATGTTCATGCACCCCTCAGCTGTGCATGTCCCAGCTTAGAGAGGCTGGCTCCTCCTCCAGGGGCCAGTGTAGACCTTTACACACCCAGTCCTTCCCTGCAAACACACTCAGGACAAGCTGCTACCAAGCACAGCCTCAGGGCTCCAGGAGAAGTGGCTGCATTCCAGTCCAGACCTGCAGGATGATTCACCTGAGCAAGAGACACAGTCAGAGGTGAGCCCAAGAGCATTATCCCAGCAAAGCCATCACCTCCTTCCTGCAAAGCCCACCACAAACCCGGGTTTCCCTCACTAGAGGCTGGTTTGCAGCACTGTTCCAGCAGTCATCACCACATGAGCAGCTGCCTTTGGCCTGTGCCCGTTGAGCAGCCAGGGCTCCTGCCCAGAGTGCAATACCCACATTATCCACAAAGTCCTCAGGAAACAGGCAAGTGCAACAGTCCCCGATTCCATCTCTCCTCGAGACCATCCCACCACCCTTTTCCCAGCCCTGTCTCAATTGAACACATTGCTGGTGGTAATCTTCTCCAGCGAGACAGCCACTTCACACTCCATGTGCATCACTGCAGGGCTGGTGGTGGGAGAAGGCTCAGAGGCCTGAGAATCCTTGCCAAAGGCCATCTCCTTGTTCTCCATGTGCAGAGCAACGTGGGGGAGAAGCTGGTGGTAGCTGAGGGTCACCACTTCCTTCTGGTACGTGGTGTCGTGGTGGTAGGAGACCAGCTCATTGCTGAAGTTCACCGTCTCCACCGCGTTGCTGGGGCAAAGGCAGCCACAGCCCAAGAGGGTTGCAAAAGCTCTCCTGAAGTCTGCGTTGAAGGTGTAGATGATAGGATTGAGGGAAGAGTTGGCCCACCCAAACCAGACAAAGATGTTGAAGACGGTCTCGCTGACACAAGGCAGCTCTCCGGGCTCATGCAGGTCAGGATCACAGAAGGGCACCATGCAGTTGAGCACGAAGAAGGGCAGCCAGCAGAAGACAAAGACGCCCATGATGATGGAGAGGGTTTTGAGGACCTTGGTCTCCTTCTTGAAGGAGTTCTTCAGGGAAGACTCGTGAGGGCAGTCGCTGCTGTGGCAGCTCTGGGCATGCTCCACCGCCCTCTCCAGGGAGGAGAGGCTGCGGATCTGCCGCCGGGCGATGCGGAAGATGCGGGTGTACGTCACCAGCATGACGGCAACGGGGATGTAGAAGCTGACGAGAGAAGACGAGATGGCGTAAGTCCTGTTGAGGCTGAAATCGCAGTTCTCCTCCTCCCCGGTGATGTTAAAACCCGGCTCCTGTTGCGTAAGGAGCTCCTGATCCTTGTGCCACTTCAGCTGCACAGGGATGAAAGAGATCAAGAGGGAGAGCAGCCAAGCGAGCGCGACCATGGTGAAAGCCACGCGCTGCGTCATCCTCCTCTCATAGCGGAAGGGGTTGGAAACGGCCCAGTACCGGTCCACGCTGATGATGCACAAGTTGAGGATCGAGGCTGTGGAGCACATGATGTCAAAAGCCACCCAAACATCACAGAAAGCCCCAAAAGGCCAGAAGCCCACCACCTCGGTGGCAGCCTTCCAGGGCATCACCAGGACAGCCACAAAGAGGTCAGACACCGCCAAGGAGATGATGAAGATACTGGTGACCTTAGAGCGCAAGTGTCTGAACTTGACCACAGCCACACACACCAGGGCATTGCCCAGGAGCGTGGAGAGGATGAGAAGGGACAGCAAGGTAGCTGCCACCACACGGAAGGACAACTTGGAGCTGCTTTCCTCCACCCAGCTCTTCCTCCTGCCGGTGCCATTGATCACATCCTGCCCACCTCCTTCTGTGGAGGAGTAAAATCCATCCATGGGTTCCCCTTCGTTTCAAGTCCCTTGAGAAGTTCCACAGCTGTTCAAGTCCCCATCAGCACCCAAACCCCCTTTTCACTGCTCAGAAGCAGCACCAGCAATCCTCCCAGCTCTCACAGCACCAGAAATGCCTGCAGCTCTCACCACTTTCCACGTCTGCTGCTGACAGCAATTTTCCCCTCTTTGCCACCCCACTTTGCTTTCCTCGCAGCTCACAGAGGGCTGGCACTCACCTCCTGCATTGCATCAAGCCTTCCTCCCTCTTCTCCCTCAGCAGCTCCTCATCCACTGTTGATGTGGTGCCTGCTACAGCATCCCAGTCAATCTCTTCCACGCTGGGACTTGCTGCCAGACGCAAGAGGGAATCAGAGCGCTCTGCTCTTGCACAGCCTCTGCGCAGAGATCAGGCTGCTCTGCTCTCTGCTCATCCCGCTGTGCCTCTGGATTTCACACCAGGTCCATCCTCTGCGAGCCAAGACGATGGCAGTGGGAGGCTGCAGCTGACAGGGGAAGTTGCTCGGGAATTAGGCGATAGGATTGAAGGGGTAAAATAACAAACATTCAAGTGGGATTTGAGGCTCTTCAAGGCAAATCAGCAGGAAATTCAGTGTGCTTGAGCTCTCAGTAAGAGACACCTAAATTCACCGAGTCACAGCTCACATGTATGACCCTACATCAGTTGGTCCCCCTGTCCCAAGCCTCCTGGCTGCAAAGGGGCTCCTTTGATTGAGAAATGTCAGCAAAGTCTTCCAGGAAAGAAGTTTCCACCAGAGCTGGCTCTGCTCAATGGGGACCTGCCTTTGGGAAATGCCTTGCTGGAAAACTAGCCAAGATGGGAAAGAGCAGCAGCAGCTTTCCAAATCAAACTGAAGGCACAAGCAGGCAGCAGAGCGTGAGTTCACACCACGCTGGAGCGCATCGTGATGACCCCTGCCTGTTCCAACAGCTCTTCTGAAGCAAGCAGCAGCCAAGCTCCACAGAGGCAGCTCAGCTGCACTGAGATTTAATCACCCTGACCTTGCACCCCAGGCTTTGCACAAGCCCACAGTGAGCAGGAGCTGCCCAAGAGCAATTATTCCCTTGAACACACAGCACCAAGCAGCTTATCCCCAAAGCAAACAGCACGCTCGCTTTGTGGCAGGTCACCGGAGCTCGGTGCCAGCGTGCCACAGCAGTGACTTCGAAGGCTTTGTTTCATTAAGCCTCATTAGTTCCGTCGTCTGCAGCCTTCTCCTGCCAAGTGCCTATGCCGGCAGGAGCAGCTAGATGGCACCAGCCACCGGCTCACGGCTCAGAACCCTCACTTGGGTCTTTGTGTCAGGCCAGCTCCCATCCTTCTGTAATCCTTACCAGAGTTACATCAGAAGAGGGCTCTCTCACTGCCCAGAGCAGTGCACTGTCCTCTGCACCTCAAACGGCATTTTCCCACATATTCCCTATATTAGGAACAAAGATTTTCCAGATCTAAGTTGCAGGACACAAAGAGGACGTCTTCATTGCTCAAGAGAGCAGCAATGGTAGGTAATCTGTCCTATGGCATTGAGCCATGGCAGAGGCTTGGAGTGGGAGCTCATGGCACACAAGGTGCACATGCTAAGCCAGGAGGCGTTCCAGGAAATCATTCCTGGAGATACAAGGAGCTTTCTTCCTCCTTAGGGGCTTAGAAACACCTCAGAGAGGCTCTCGCCCTCGCGCACAACTCACGCTGAAGCAGGCATTGGAAGCTGCGTTGGCAGGAGCAAGCAGATGGGAAGGGACCCAACCCGTTACCCAGTTTCTGGGCATCTCGGAACACACCTAATGAAGACAGGACCCATCAACTCTGCTGTCAGAGGCAGCCAAAACGCAGCTCCTCAACCAGACCCCAGGCATTTCCTGCTGTTCCCAGGTTAACTCCTCCCGCCGGCTGGCTGTGATCTCTACTGAGAGCACTGTTTGCTGCCTTCTATCACTAAACTGTTGCTCCGTTTCCCCACATAAGCAGCTGCTATTTTTGCTGAGACTCAGTTAAGTCCTATTTTAACCAGCACTCAAATAGGAGAAGATTCCAGTGTGGTGACAATTCAGCTCTAGGTTTTCATTTTTCATTTCCTCACCCAGCGAGAAGCTGCCCTCGATTTCCCTTCCCTGCTGGCGCACCAAAATATCCTTCCCATTCTCCATTCAGCCATCTTGATTACATTCCCCACTTTGCATCAAAGGGAGAAAATTGCCAGCCACTTCATCTAAAGCAGCAGCTGCTTGGGTTTAACTCTTCAAAGCCTCTTCCAGAAGGGCTGCCTCAGCCAGATGCAGCACAGAATGACAGAGAGCATTTGTTCCTACAGGAATCACTTGGAGCTTCCCTTCCAGGGAAGGTACAGGTGATAGCAGGAAAGAAATGAGGGGCAGGCAGATCTGTGGGCTCCCTGCAGCCATGTGAGCCTTGAAGCTGCACCTGTTAGCTGCACAATGGCAGAACAAGATGAGCTGAAGCAAATAAAAGAAAGTGAGCCTTTCCAAATGATACTCAACATTAAGGCTGTACAACCCCAAACCCAGCACAGGCTACTTGTAAAAACAGACTTCTTCCACATAGGAACTGCTGGGCCTTTTTAAAGGCAGAGAAAAGACTGGAGGCAAAGTGCACTACAGCAGTTAGACAGCTTGGGTTGTGACAAAGCAGCCCAAGAACCTGCTCGTTTCCTGTCAGCACAAGTTTTATCCATGCGGCAGCACAGCTGGAACAGCACTAACACACAGTGACCTGTGGCACAGGGAAAGAAAAGGAGGCACCACAAGGGATTCCGTTTCCTCCCTTCCCTTTTATTACACATAGGCAGAAAACACAGTGGTTTTTCTCCCATTTACTTACAAAGCTTCAAGTCATTTCACACAATTCCATGTGCAGCCCGGGTGAACTGCTTCAGCACACCTCCTGTGGCAGGAGTCCACTCTCCAACAAAGCAACAACGAAGGCAGAGAGAACACAGTACCATAGTGACACCTGGAATTGCTTCCCTTGCCCTCTGGGACTAAAGCTGGGTCACCAGTAATGCCCAGGGCATGGGAACTCCAGCCCTCCTTTACTGTTCACCCAACCTGCCATCCACATGGCTCCAGCAACAGAGCTTGGTGCAGGAAGCAGCAGAGAAATGGTGATGGGAATATGGGAATACATTCCGAGTCAGGGAGAGGGGCAGGGAGGACTGGTTACACACCAACACGGAGCTGGTCCCTCCCCTGCCACACACAGGCTCTGTGAACAGAAAGCCCAGTTTCTAGCACGTTCCTCTCTAAAAGAATTCACTTCTCCGTGTTCAGGATCCGGCTTTCTGCTCTCCCCTGTGCATACATGTAATAAAAAAGTGACCTGCAAAAGATGAGGATTTCACTTCTGATGGGTAAAGAAAGCCTCTAAAAACATCTTCAGTTGCTGTGCTCAGGTGGGTTTGCATTAGAAACACTGCCAGAGTTTTGGTTTGGGGCTTTCTGGTCATCTATAATCTTGTGGAATTGCAACATCAAGACTAAAGGCAAAGACAAGGCTGTTGTAGGAAACTGGCCTCAGGGAAAGGGAAAATGATGCATCCCTTCTCCTCCCATCCCAACTCACTCAATATGAGAGCTCAAAGATCACCCTGCAACTCCCAGCAAGTTTTGCAAGCAGGGAAGATACAAAAATAGCTCAGGTTTCAAGTAAGAGTGAGCAGCAAGTTGTAGTGCAGCACCCACGAGCCTGTGTCCCAACCGGCAGCGTCAGGACCGCCTTCAGCTCAAGATCTTTTGCAGGTCTCCCTTTTAAGGCCTTAATGTCATTACAGAAAGAGGAATTCTTTTTGTCTTGTGCTTGCAATTGCTGCCCTCTAGAGCAGCAACAAAATCTCCTACAATTGAACACTTACAGTGTCTAGTTGCCCACGACCGTGCAAAATACAGACAGGGAGGGATAGAACTACCAACGGGTGTGTAAGCTTGTTGCAGGTAACTTATGGCAAGGACAGTACTTAGGTGCCAAGTGTTTTAAACAACCACACAAACAGCCAAATGTTGAGCAACTGCAATACTGCTGCAACTCAGGTTCTCAACATCAGCCACAGCGAAGGGAAAATGAAAAACGAGCACTGTTATGGACACAGAAGAGTATCTTCGCCGGGTGGAATAGTGAAGGGCATTCCCAGAGGGAAGACTGGATGTTGCAGTGACTTGGGATCACAAGTCAAATTGAGACCAGCGGAGATGTTGGCACAGAGATGACAAACACCAGCTGGGGCCAGTTCCAGAGTGGATTGTCATGGCAGGAGATCCTGTTGCTGAGCAAAGTGATATCCATGAAGAATGGGGGGGTGTTACCCCTCTCCCCAGAAGTTCTAGTCATTAGTTAAGGAACCTTAAGAAACTTCTCACACTGCAGCAACAGGATGCTGTTGGGTCTTTAGAGATTCAGTCCCAGAGCTGTTTTGGGTTCAGAGGAAGTAGAGGGAGTCTTTTGTGCCAAATCTATAAAGACAATCACAACAGAAAGAGAGCAGTTTTCATCAGTAAGATGAACTACATCAACCGCCTCTATAACTAATACAATCTCAGTCTCAGTGCTTCAGTATTCAATTACTGTTCTCTTGGAAACCCAAGCTTTATGTTTGATATGGGATGCTGAGCATTCTTCTGCTCTGAAACTTGAGAATATCATGTGCCCAAATAGGAAGAAGACTATATGGACAGTCTGTGCAACTGTTCATTAACTGATTCCTGAAAGGAAAAGTAAAACCTATTTACCCCTGTCCAAGACAGGTCTATGGAAAACTCATTGTGCAACCCTTAAGCTCTGGTCACTCACTGTTCCTAAATAAAGACTAGGTTAGTAATGGTTCTAGCAGACATCATACCTATAACATAGGACATAAGTACTGTGAGACACAAAAGATGCCGTGTGCTTGGCCAGGCAAAACTCCTAGCAAAGAGAAGCGGGAACGATTCTAGCTCAGACTTCAGTTCTGGACCCCTTTGGTTTTGCAAGGCTGACAGCAGTTAGCTAACACAACTTACAGACATCCATACCTCCATCAGACTCAGAGAGCTTCTCCAGTTCAGCTTCCAGCTCAGCATCAGAAATGGGTGGATTCAGCACCTTCTCGGGAACAGGAGGCAGATCCACAGGCTCCTTAGTTGAGTCCTGCAGGAGACTGTCCAGCTCCTTCTCAAGCTCCTCAGTGTCCGTCTCTGCTGATTAAAGGAAACATTCAGTTCCAAGAAGAATTAAGCAGCATCTTCACAGCAGACTGTGTTTCAGCAGAGCCAAACAAGCTGCAGCATCACACAGGAAGAGATTCTCTCTTATAAAACAAAGCAGTAGCCACTCTAAAAATAGATCTAAATCAACACGACAC